GGAGCAGGAGGAAACCCTTAGATTAGTCGTAGCTAGTCAGAGACGAGATAGGAAGGAAGGAAGCAAACGGGACCAGAGTCTAGGTGGGATCAGAGGCGCAGCGATACGCACGAAAAGTCCGATACAGTCATGCTTGACTTGAGGCAGGCGAATCGCGAAACAAGCGCAGAGAAAACTCTGATCGGAGACAAACCACTATGACGAGTGTTGCCCCTCTTCTCGCGTCTTAAGCAAATAAGAGCCGTGCTGAAAGGCGCAGCCGTTGCCCAGCGAAGAGATAGCTGAAACCGGACTATACTCGGGTAAGGATTGGTGCGCCATACCTGCCTAGTTTGTATAAACTATCGTGTAGGCTTACGACGACTCTGATGACATGGCGGAGAAAGTCTCCGCAACAAGTGCAGCGATTTCACGCCAGGGTTTCCATCCGGCAACAAGCTACGGCAACGGCTGGTACGTGACTCGACCAAATCACCCGACTATATAGACTTCCGACGACACGGCGAAAGATTCATCATCAGAATCAGCAACCAGAAAACCATCGACACTACCCCTTAAGATTATTCCGTTTGTGAAAGAAAGAATACTATCTATTTTCATCTTTATTTTATTCTATCAATTGACTCCGACAATCGTAATCGTTCCAATCTCACATTCACGGAGTTGGAGGGCCCGTAGCTCTGAATCGAGGTTCTGGCACAGAGCCACGAACTGATTGTAGGTGAGTCCCTGAGTGCGGCCCACCAGTTGTCAGTGGAGCTCAATGGAAAATCCTTCGCGTAGTGCATCGAGTTTGGCATGCTCGTCCCAGTTCAGCTTGGACACGAGCCTTTGAAACTCCGCAAAGTAAGACGTAAAGTCCTTGTTCCCTTGCTTGAGGCGGTGGAGTTTGGCGCATGCAGTGGCAGCTGGGTCAGGATCGCCGAAGGTGTTTTCGAGGATGGTGACCATGGAATCGGCGGCGGTCAAGCTGATCACGTTGTTCTGGATGTACGGCAGTATCTGGGCTTGGGCACGGCCTTCCAGACGATTGAAGGTGTAGACCTTTCTGAGTGCTGGGGACGGGAAACTGGTCGGGTCGCTGTACAGTTTGAGTCGAAGCTGGGCAAGGAACGCTTCGAGCTTCTCTCGAGTGCCATCGAACATGCCTGGCTCCGGGACGCGCTCGGCGTGGCCCTGTGGTTGGCTTTCTAGGGTGGCGAGACGGTTGGTGATACGACGGGAGTTTGGGAAGGTTTTCTTCGAGGACGTCTACTCGCCAGGTGGGTGCTGCTGTGGGGGATTGGGTGATTGCACGGGCTATGATTTGGAACTGGTTATACAACCCCAACAGTGTCGCATTGTCGACGGGTGAGTTGTGGTTGACGATGATCTCGAGTTGTTCGTAGACGGTGGCGGGAATTTCTCGATAGTAGGGGGGTGCCACCAGTACTTCCTCCTGCTGGGGAGGGCCTGAGGCTGAAGTATTGGTGGCCATGGTTCTTCGCTAGGTGGAGAGATGAGCGGCGCAACAAAGTGTAACGGCACGGTCGGGCAAGGCTCCAGGTAGCGAAGTCGGGCTGGGGATCGGGTTCCAGGTTTGGCAGAGGCAAGGCGGGTTCAGAGGACAAAGTGAGGCAGGGCTCAGTGCAGACGGCACTGAGAACAGAGAAAGGGACAAGGACTACGGCGCAGACGGCAGCCGAGGCAAGGACAGAGGTAACAGTGATTGAATTAACAAGTTGTTGCGTGAAGAACTAAATACAGAGGGGCAACGGCCCGTTTATATGGAAAATTCTCCACTTCTTCCCGCAACCTGACAATGACCGTGGGTGTGTGCCAGACCCTGAGAAATCCACCTTGCCAGTACCCCGCTTCCGTGACTCATACCCTGCGCAGCCGCACTACCCCTGCTTCCTGCACACAGCTCCAATTCCTCCGACTCATTCCTGCATTGCCGCCCACGCAGCCCCTTGCACTGCCCCCGCGCCGCCTTCCGGACCCTGTTCCGACTCTTCCTCGAACGTTCCGTCGCGAGCCGTGACAGTCTAGACTCTGGAATCGGTTTGCTTTTCTCCTTTCCAACTTCTCCTTGATCGCTTCTCACTATTCCTTCGGCTTGCAACTCTATTCTAATCACCCAGACTATCTAATCACATCTCTTGCGACCATGGTGGCCTCCGATACCTATCGGGGTGTCACAAACTACCTCTATGTCTCAGAGTATGGACGGCTCCAACCGCAACTGATCGATGATCACCGCGGCCCACCCACGGTGGGACACCCCGGCGAGCGAGAACCCCGAACCTCCTTGTCCGGAAGTACTAATGGGCATCGATGCGGACGGACGTTGGCCAGTTTTTCTGAAAATTTCACAGTAATAGAAATCCTGGCCTTAAGCAGCTACTGGGATGATGGCATTCAGCCATCAAAATACCTGTTGGTCGAGTGGTATAGTACTTTCTCAGTGTACTTTATTACAGCATGGGCAGTGCAGAAGGAGTTACAGGGTAGTGCGGCTGCGCAGGATATTAGTCAGGGAACCTGTGTACTGGCAAGGTGGATTTCTCAAGGTCAAACACATCTCTACCGTCATTGTTGTGTTATGGGAAGTAGAGGAGGATGTCCTATATAAATGGGCTGTCCCCCCTCTATACTTAGCTCTTCACACAACAACTTTTTAATTCAACAACTGTCACCTCTGTCCTCGACTTGGCTGCCATCTGCGCCATAGTTCCTGTCTCCAGCCTTGTTTCTCAGTTACTGTGTGCACTGAGTCCCGTCTTGCCTCGTCTGCCCGGCTCATCTTACCCTTGCCCAACCCGGTTTTCTGTCCACCCGTCTACCCGTCTTCACTACCTGGACCTCAGCCCAACCGTGCAGTTACAAAAATGTCAGCAGGGCGTACCCTTGCTGATTAGGACCCAATAAGGTCCAGGGTGCGTGTCCGCACCCTGCACCCAATCAGGTCGTAAATCAGCCCGCCATAGGTGAGAAATACGTTGTGGCTGAATTACATTGATCATATTATCTCAAAGCCGTTGTGCAGAACGCCCAGCACCTTTTTTATGTGACGTACACTGAAATATGGGTGGTATAATATTCATCACGTACGGCACCGAACGGAGCCCAAGTTATCACAGCGCTTCGGAGACCAAATATGATTCGGACGCCTAAGGTGGTGCTGCTAGTATAGAACCCACACATTTACTAGCAATAACGCAATTATCACCGTGCGTATCTGTCCAAAACCAATGTGCAACGCATTCCGCGACAATCCAGATGCATTGAATTGAAATCTCCTGCGATAGGTAAAACTTCTGTGGCGGATGCGGCTTCTCGATGATGCGCCTCCTTGTAGCTGTGGAAATTGTAGGAATGAGTATGTTGCTGTGAACAATCCACTAGCTGTTCGGAGGACCGGTGGTGGGTGCTTGGAACGTTGGGTGCGGTAGCGGTTCCATGTTCCCTCTTTCTCTCTCTCTCTCTCTCTCGCTCTTGTACATGTAGCTCTTAGACACGAACATACAATTCCTCTCCATCTGAATCGTTCCAGTGATCACCTCCACCAGCCCTTTCAACACAAATGCTTGTATGAACGGCACCTGCGTCGCAGGCGACTGTGTTGCTTTGGATGAAACGGGGACATTCAATAATCGCAAAGATTAGAAAGGAAATAGAAGCATCGAAGAGTGACGAGAAATGATGTGACGTGATGTAAAGGTGGCCGAGAAGGTCGAGAGTAGAATATGCCTCCAATGTACCAGTGTTCTCCATGGTCCGGTCCAGACTGCAGTCCAGACGGAACGGACTGCCAATATCCAGTCCCATCCGTACCTTTTTGAGGATAGGATAAATGTAGTCCGTCCCGTCGACAAATTTACTGGACGGCGTTGGACTGCATTCGACTGCAGTCCGTCCCGTCCGACCTTACCGGTGGACTAGTCCGTCCGACAGACACCTTCGGAGGGACTGTATGTAGTCTAGTCCCGTCTATGGGTCCGGACGGACTGGACTGAGCTATGGAGAACACTGCTATGTCCTGGCTCGCGGTCTTGTAATTATCACATCGCCGTTACTTAACCATCCATCCAGCCAGCCAGTCCTCGTCTGCCGTAGCACCAACCATCAACCACCAACTTCGATTTGTTTCTTTCTGTCATAGCAGCTGATCAAAAGACAGTATTCGCTGCATTGAAACTAGAGCATCCGGGTAGTTACTTCATGTCCTTGATCCGGAGGGCCACGGGCATTCGCCAAATGCAACCCTCATCTCACCCCATCTCCAACCACGAACACCAACACCACTTCCGTACGGAGCACCAGGCGAGCGTGACTTGAGCGGTGCACGGGCACATACATACCACCACCGGGTGTGCCCTCCCACCACGTGCGAGCACATCCTTCCTGGATGCTGGTGGTACATTCGTCTGTATCTATATCCGAGTGAATCTGGAGCTGGGCGATAACTACATAGTACGTACCCTCCCCGCATCGCCCATCAATCCACAAGTCCTCGACGTCCTCTCCCGAGAGTTTTTTGACCCTTGTTGCAGAAATGTATATGCGACCATCTTCTTATGCCCAAATTCCGATAAATTCCACGGTGGGCCCCGTGCGCCGACCCGATTTTCAAATTGGCCGAGTCCCCATACAACCAGTGTTCTCCATACTGCGGACTGGACGGACTACCAATAACCAGTCCCGCCCGAGTCTTTTCGAGGGTGGGATAAAAGTAGTCTGTCCCGTTTGCCAATTTGCTGGACGGGCTTGGACTGCAGTCCGGTACTGAGAAAAAGTGCCACTCTTTTCAGCACATACCCCACCAAATATGACAGTATTTCCCGCTAGCGTGTGTTGAATTTCATCCAGTCCATACCAGCAACACCCCGAGCGGCGACACCATCTTCGTCCAGTACCAGCAAAACTGCGCCACAATCTTCGTTCAGGAATCAGTATCTGCAAGGTGGCGGCGTCATCTTCAACTCATGCGCATCCTACACTCTTAAGTTCCTTAACCACTACAATCGTGATAGTAATGCACCACTCCCGGACGAACTGCGAAGATGCAGTCCAGTCAAGTCCGAGGCTCAGGACGGACGGACTGGACTATGTCGAACACTGCATACAACTGACCTTGTGAAAAACCCGGCATCGCAGTTGGATAGCGGCGGGGGAGTGAGCTTTGGGGCTGGCGAGCGTCGTGCCTGTTAATGATCGTACCAAAGACGGTGTTAGGAGTTTAAATTGTGAATGGGACCTTAACACTACTATCGATGCAGATGTTACTATGATGGGGCACGGGGAGAGACGGATGGCTGTGGTGAGTATGGAGGTTGTTAGACGTGAACACCGAACTTCCCGGAATTGTTCAGCATCAGAATGCACTCGCCTCGAAGGGAAGATGATGTGACAGCAGTGAGTATGGTAGTTGCGGTTCCCCATGGTCTAGAAAGGCTCTAGGTGACATCAACGGACGCCGTTTCTCATTACGGTAGTTGCCGGTTGCAACCTCAAACATGTCGGAATCTTCAGCATAAGTTGTCACTCACCGGTGAAAAACAACAGACGTTATAAATCAACATTGCATAGCGTTACAAATGGACATGATAACCGTAATTTACATTGCTTTATATCGTCAGGTCAGGTATATACATCTAAGCCGTCTCATCATCTAAACCGTCACATATCGTGCCCCGTCTGTCTACAACTCCCTCACCAACTCGTCCACCATCGCCGTCTCCTCTTCTACCGAAGGCGGCACCTCCTCTTCCACCGGCGGCGGCTCCACCCGCCATCCCCTCACAAGCCCCGCCGTGATGAGGTAAACCGCACACTCACTCTCACCCGGCCAGCCACCCCACCTCCTATTTACAACCTCCTCCAGCCTATCGATCCTGTCCCATCCATCCTGACTAACCCTCCAATCCGCCTCCGGCGTACCATAGCCAGCGCCCTCCAAGAACACTTTGATGGCGACTAACACCCGCCGCCCGAGCGCATTATCGAGTTTCAGTTCCCGCCGGTCGAGGTAGTGAACAACCTGTTCGAGCGCGTCGTACCGCCGTGCGAAGCCGAGGGCGCGGACGAACACGTGCAGTGCAGCTTGTTCGGGGTTGATCATTGGCGTTGTGTCCTCGGAGATTTCGAGGCCGAGCTCGTGATTGAAGATCCCAATGAGGCGGTCGGGCGGAGGAACACCGTCCCAAAGTGCTTCATCACCGAGGGCAAGTGTGCTCCATCGCTCCGCGGCAACGGCGAGAAGGCGCAGGGTTTCGCTGTCGATGTCAACGAGCAGACGCATTTCCTTGTAGAGTGACCAGACTGTGCGCGTGGTTTGCGCGCGGAGGTCGTGGATTTGGAAAGCGGGGGGAATGTTCGGGGAGAGGGTGTTGACGAAGCCCGCGATTACCGTGTTCCAGGCGGGTCGGTACTTGGGGCGGTGGTGACGGACGAGACGTAGCGCGGGGTAGATGGCGCGGGCGTTGGAAAGTTGTTGCAGAAAGGCGGTTAGGACTTTCGTATTCATTGGTTTTTGGGAAGTGGAGTTGTGCAACGAGTACATCGGCTTGATGAGTTGGTTTGCTAGTTCCTCATCCCAATGCTTCAAGACTGTCATGGCGAAGCTTGAGCGGTGGACTTTACCGACCAGGAGGGTGGTCAATCGGATTCCCGGCCTGATGCCGTCGCGGATCATCTGGTCGAAAAGTCCTTCGACGTCGAGCGGTGGCTCGCCATTATAGACACCGTCTCGTGGATTCAGCGGCGGATGGATAAGCTCCTTACCATCTCCAGGAACGGCCCTACTCTTTCTTTCCGTCACACCACGAAGCCAGAAATCGTAGCTCGTCAAATGTCCCCTTTCGTTGATTTCCTTTCTGACCAAGCCCTCCCTGTGCGTTTCCTTCTGGAGCTTATCATCCCACAGAAGCTTCTCAAACATCTCCTCCCAGACAGTGAGGTGAGGAACGCCCTGCTCGCGGCATTGTTGAAAGTTCCACCACGCCTCATCCAGTGTCCTGGTAGCACGCACGCGCGCAGCCCACACGCGACGACTATCGTCCACACTCTCATCGATGTTGAGGATCCGCCTCCTCCAAAAGCTCCTAGTCTGGATCGTCGGTGATTTATCGGTATCCTTTCCAGTCAAGACTTCGGCCTCCTTCTCCCAGTCGGCCAGTTTATACCCCGCCTCCATCATCTGCTGGATAACCAGACCACCGCGAGAAACAACATCCTCGTACGCCTTCCTATGCGCCTCCACCCACCCATCCCTCTCCTCAAACCACGGCGGCCAGCCCTTCCCCATATTCCTCGTCTTTTCCGACTCCTCCGCCGTCTTGCGGTGCGCGACTTGCACCGTTATGATTGCGCGATACCCCTCCCTCGTCATCGGTGCCTCCATGGTTGCCATCTTCTGGATCAGGGCGAACTGACACTTCTGCAGTAGCGGGACGTTGCGGTAGGGACCAATTGAGGTCGGAAGCGACAGCAACACCAACAAACGGTTGAATGCGCGGGTTACCCATGCGGGAAGTGCTTCGTGTGCCCATCCGGGTCGCCGGAAATTCTCCACGATCAGGTCGACAGCTCGCGGCAATGCCTCCGGCCACGAATCACGACACTGTCGCAACAGCCGGATTGCAAGCAAAATCACCGACTTGTGGTCGCGAAAATGTACTCCGTCGCAAGGAGTAAGCAGCTTCTCGACGATCGGGAAAAGCGCGTGCAGCGTCGACCTGGGCAATTGTTCCCGTCGTAGCAGGGCCAGCACCAGGAACGGTGGGATGATTGGCCGCGCAACCCCAGCCCGCTCGGCAGATTTGTTTAGAGCCTCCAACCGTAACCCCGCCTTCCTTGAATCCTTTGCTGTCAATATCCACGCCCAGACCAACACATCCGTCTCGTCACACCCATTCTCACGCAGGTATTCACTGATTTCCGGCGTAAACGACTTCTTGACGACCTGCTGGTTCCTGTCCTCCGCGGCCTCCAATGGGACCGCCGAGAAACCACCATTTTCAACACAATGGTGGATAAACACTGTCGTAATCTCCTTCAGCGAGTAGCGACTGTACCGCCCATCCTTGGGGGCGACACGACGACGCCGCGACAGCTTGCTGCCCGCGAGAGGATCGATATGGGAGGTGTTCCGTTTTCCCGGTACGAACTGCCGGATTTCGACGCCCGTTGCGCGCAGTAGAGGGTTGAGGCGGGCAGCCGGATTGAAAAAGTACCTCCGCACTCGTGGACCATCGTTCATCAGCTGCATGTCGGATCCATCGGTTGCATCATCATTCTCTCCGTTTCGTATCGATCCTCCGAGGTCTTCGAGCGGTACTGTTTCGGACACGGCGGGGGTTTTGTCCGGGATTGTCGCCTCGCAGGTGGTGGTAGTAGAGGATTTCCGGGCTCCACATGATGCTGGTTGTCCGGGAGTGCCGGTGAGAACCCAATTGAGTGCCTGAAAGCTCAAAGGATGACGGGAAAGGGCCCGGCCGAGGGCAGAGTTAAAGATTGGCAGTGACATTCATCGAGTCGCGGCGGTGTGGGGCATGGGTAGGTGAACGTTCGGGACCGGGTGGGGGTCGGTTTTGTGGAGTGACCAAAAAAATGTCGAATTTAGTGTAGTTAAGGTCACGTGTGCGGCTCCATGAAACAGCGACCGGGGCTATGAACTGCTCCGAATTTCCGAAACTTCCAGGGGGCTGAAGGTTGCGAACTCTGCACGATCACCATAAAGCGCATTATTCTTTTATAGAATTAAAAGAATTTATAGTAGAGCTTGTATCGACGGCGGGCGCTGCTCACATCTATTCTGGCGCCTCGACTCCTCCACCAACATAGATTGGTCGTACATGTACGCGTACTGCCAACCAACCGCCGTCGACCGCAGTGAACTGTACAATGCCGTCATAAGAAGGAGCAGCAGCAGCGGAAAACGTACCATATCGCCGCAAATGCGAAGTAGTCGTCGTTTGGTCGTTCGCGTCGTGTTAGGCGGAACCCTATTCGTCACGCCCCGCGATAGAGATAGATGATTGTGATCACATCGTCGCTCGGTCAGTCAACCAGGCAGTCAGCTGGCCGCCCTCGCGCTGTCGACTATTGCCGTTGTTACCGGCCAGGTGGAGACAAGTTCATATAGAACATGCTGCTCGGGGATCTCAGTCGGTAGCAATATTCTAAGCACCCCCGTCGTGTCGGCTCTGCCAGCTGTCTCTCCAGCGCTCCCGACCCATTCCTGGTCTCTCTGCCGGAGAGTGACAAGGCACGCTATGCCCTGTTCCGTTGCTTCAGGAAGTCATCCGTAGAGTGGTGCACATTATAGTATGTACATAGAGTACATAGAGTATATATTCCATGGGGCACGCACAGAACACACACAAACAAGCTTTTGATCCGCGAACTAGCAGGTCCCCTCGTGCGATGCACGCACGGAGCGTTGTGGTTCATTTCGGCGCGACTATTCATGAAACATTCCCCACATATCGATGCGTGGTCGGGGTGCTTGGTTGTGTGCCACCCGGCAAAACCGCCGAACAAGAGAAAGCTTGTCACTCCATGGCTGTAAGGATGTGATTAGCGGGGCCGGGCCATAAGGTGTGTGTTGGGGCCGCGTCTGTGAGATGTAGGGGCGAGGGCTGCTTGATTGATGAGGGGACGGGTGCGATACAGACCGACGTACCCATCGAGGTCTTGGTCGTAGTTGTGGTCGTGATGGAGCGGCGGTTGTCAGTGGTTGGGGCGGTGGTAGTTAGGAGGAAGGCACAGTTAGTTAGCATGGGCTGATAGGTGGTTCGCATAGAGTAACAGAGGTGACTCGTCCGTCGCCGAGAGATGAGGAGAGCATGCCCGCACTGGGCTACAACGTCCCACGATGCACACCCGCCCTCCCACAGAGAAAGCAATCCAGCGGAACTTTAACCAATGCGCATGGCCAGATCGTGGCCACACCCAAAACACACGAGCGCAAGAGGGCAGCAGCAGACGGAAGATCTAACCAAGAAGCATCGGAAGGCCTATCTCGAAGCTTTCGGCTCATTGCAGCAGAAAGAGCAGAAATTGGCCATGTCGTTTTCGTGGCTGTTGGTTGGTTGGTTCGTGGTGCTGGTGGTGGTGACTGTGGTGGTGGGTGGTGGTGCTGGTGGTGGTGCTGGTGGTGCTGGTGGTGCTGGTGGTGCTGGTGCCGGTGGTTGTGCTGGTGGTGGTGCTGGTGCTGGTGGCCATGCAGCTGGCGCCATGGTGGTTCGATCGATGGTGGCCATGAACGTTGGTCATATCCGCTTTGGGCTTTCTCGAGTGAGACATAGTGCCCACCGTTACGTCGTTAGTCCTCTTATTATGTCCCCCTCCATCTCTGCTTCGACGTGCTCTCCTCCTCCCCGTCTCACCCTTCATTCCACCTCCATTCAAAGTATATCTTTAATTACAACACTCAATGCTCTGATATTCTTCAATCTATTCCCATTAGCCGCTACTCCTCGTATATACATTACCACTCCACAGCCTACCCTGTGATATCCTTGTGCCGGAGACTGCGCAGGTCGACTGCTGAGCAGTGTTTACATATTCCCGCCCATACCCAGCTAGATACGCAGTGCAAGTGGTATGGAGACTCTCCACTCCTCCCTCCTCGAAGCCCACATCAGCAGGTTCTGATATTTAATAGCGATCCCAACCGCCATCATGCTCAATCCGATGAAAGTGTACTTTCCGGGCATGCTTCTTCGGAAGACGAACAGTGTCCGGAGCGACCCAGCCGATAGCAGAACGGAAGCAACAGCTTTCCCGGATTACCCACCCGATGACCCCGACTTCACGCTTATTGAAATGGAGTTCTACCGGAAACGCTCCGTCTCGGCTAGCCAGTGGTCATCATTCCTCACTGCTACTACGCTCGAGCTGTCGTCTCCCCCGGTAGACCTCAGCCCGCTTCCAGAAATCAATTACGACAATCTGAGGCCGAGGGTTATTCCAGAGAGATTTCAAGTCAATATCCCCACAATTTCTGAGGAGGCTGCGCCTCCTGAGACTGCTAAGGAGAATGTCGATCCTACATCTGAGGAGAGGTCTTCTCCGCCGACCTGGGACTCACCATGGGTTAGCTCCCGGGCCTCGCCAGATAGTAGCTCCCGGGCCTCCATCTCCAGCAACCGATCCACACGTTCCCCGTCCGCTAGTCCACCCCGCCGACGCCGCCACCACTCGCCCCCACCACCACCTCGTCCCACCTATCGCTATCGGTCTCTCCTCGACGACTTTCCGGAAGATCCGGACGAGGTTCCGGGCCCTCTTCCCAAGAATTACGACAGAGATTTGGATCCCCTCATAAAGAAGAACACAGAGATAAACCAAAATATTGCCGAGCTAACGGCAAACCTGATCCCCGAGGAGCAGGAGCGCTCGCGTCCTACGAGGTCGCATAGCCCGGTAGTGGGATTCGGCGAGGTGATAATCAAGAGCGAGACTGGGGAATGGGAGGCCCCGCTTTTACCAGCGCATGCAGAGCCCGGACCAGCACAGAAGTTGCTTCGTCTTGCTACCTCCAAGGCCAGTCTGGCCAGCAAGGTGATACCTAGGAAGAGCTCCACTGGAAGCAACCGCTCAAGGAAGAGCTCAGTCCCGGAAAAGTCAATCTTGAAGAACCGTGCTGCAAATCAGTCTCCTGCTAGGATCGGCTCGTTGGATACTGCTCAAGCCGTGCCCTCGACGGGTGATGATACCACTAACAACGCCTCCGCTCTCGCCCAAAAGGACACTTCAGTCACCACAGCCGCCCTCGGGACGAGGAGCGCCGTACGAAGTCCACCACAAAGCCGCCCTGGCACGCCGAATCAACCATATGCTTCACATTCAGAGGAACCAAGTCCCCCCGGGACCCCTCCACAGCTCGAGGAGCCAAGTGCCTTGGAGGCCCCTTCACAGCTTGAGGAGCCAACTCCCTTCGTTCCTTCACAGGAGCCAACTCCCCCCGAGACCCCTTCACCGCTTGTGGCACCAGGTGCCGTGGTGGCCCCTTCACAGCTTGAGGAGCCAAGTCCCTTCGCTCCTTCACAGGAGCCAACTCCCCCCGAGACCCCTTCACCGCTTGAGGCGCCACAGTTGGAATCCCCAGATATTTCCCACTTCAGCGTAGGACTCCTTCCATCACCCGAACGAAGTGGCACTCCGACTCCCCGCGCATCACCCAGGGGAAGCGGCAGCCCCACTCCACGCCCATCTACAGCATCACGGCTAGACCCCACACCCCAATTCGTCCCTACTCCAACCCTGCCTGACGTCGTGGCTTCTCCGGGCTCAAGAGTGAGCTTTCCCGTCCCCCCCACACCAGCCAATACTGCCGAACCACCCAATGCTGCCGAACCACCCAATACTGCCGAGCCTCCCAATACTGCCGAACTTCCCAATACTGCCGGACCGCGGCCACGACCCCGGACCCCGTACCCCTGGCCAGCTGGGGGGAACAGGACCGAGCGGTTCAGGGCCGGGTGGACCAGGTTCACGGAGAAGTATAGACGCGTCAGGGATCGGATCCGGAGAAAGGACGACGACGGTGCCGCTGATGGGTAGTGCGGCTGTGGGACGAGAAATGAAATGTCTATTTTCATTTATTATGTTTCTACGGTGCTATGGAGTTTTGTTTTTATTTGTTTTTCTACGGCTGGGTGGGTGGTGGTGTTTTTTATTTTGCTTGTGTTTGGCTTCGGCGATGGAGGACGGACTAACAATAATCATAATGGACTGGACAGCTAGGGTTTGGTTGGATGGTGGAGGGGCAGCTATTAGGTTGGGCGGTGGGCATCAAACGGACAGATTTTGGATATCAACAGGGGAAAGCATCCAAGGGGAAAGCACCACCGGGTGGTAGCTATGGCCTAGGATCACTACTGGACGGCGTGGAGGTTAGTTTCACGCTTGACGGTTGGATACTTGGACGGATGGATAACGGTGGATATGATGGATGGATCGAAGGGATGGGGATTATTGGTATTGGACTGCAATGAATATGAATGGACGGACGAACAGGGGGATGTGTTCGATTTGGATATGACATTTCATTGTCATGATTCACGGATGATTGGTTACAATGCTGGATGCAATGGATTGTGCGAGTAGTATAGGTATTGCAGTGAATGGAATTCTTGGATTCAAAGCATCGGATTGGAGTTTGAGTGTCGTATCGTATGCATACATACGATGTGTTGGAAGTGATGTCTCTGAATCGGTGATACCTACTACCTGGTTTCTTCTATCGAGGAGTGCCAAGTGAAGAGGGTCCAGATGACTCCTTCGTCGTGCCATAGAAGACGGTCCATTTAGCAACATATCCGTGTCGCTACCTATACAAGCCTTTCGCTAATCCCATCCATCAACCACGGAGATCTATGCGTTTGCCAGCCTGTCCAACCGTTGCCTATAGCCATGATTCTCCAACTCCTCTTTGATTCACCAAGACTTATTCTTTCACCCTTTCACTCCAATATTGAGCGGGGTATCTACGACGGGGACCACGTTTGCAACTTCGTCCACACCCTCCAACTCAAGCTTTGTGCGTCCAGGACATATGGCATAGCTTCGGTGGGGATATGAAACAGCAGGAGCTCTGGAAATCCCTCACGAGGACAGGACGGGGAACACAATGGGAGACATGGGAGATGTGGTATGACAGGACTCGAGGGACAGCAACACAGCTGCTGGCCGGTATTCCTGCTGGATCCGTCTTGAGTCCGACGAAGAAGAAAATGGGTGGTGCGTTAATGGAGTGGGCGCCGCCCAATCGATCTACAGATTCCGCTCTGACGGAATGACGGACTGACTGACTGGAGAATTCTTTACTCCAGTGGAGGACGGTCCAATCCAATCCACTGACTGAGTGCTCTACTATAGTAACCCCCAAGTACCTTGTGCGGAGACCAGATTAGAGTATGTACTCCGCCGATTTGCTGATGATGTGCAGCCAGGTAGGTAAGTACATGGTAATATCAGGCGGTGTTTACTATATCAAACCCTCCATAACTAACTACCAGCCAACTCGTCACATTGATATTTGTTGCTCCCGCCGAACTGGAACAGTAGACTTCGGATCTTCAGCATACGTTTCATTCTCTAACTGCTGCTGAAGTGAGCACATCACCGGAAAAGCGGCATTTCTAACCGCTGTTCTGTTCTTGACTTACCTCGACTCCGACTTTCGCGGCCGCGTGCGGTGCCATCATCATCATCATCATCATCACCATCATGGCTCCCTGTATGTATTTATTTACATACCATCTTGGCTGGAACAACAACATACCATCTTGGCTGGAACAACACCAATCCGCGCGGCCGGATAGCTTATTCCTCATCCCCACAGATATATATACATGCCCAGGAGTTAAGCGCACCGAAGTACATACGGTCGAAGTGCATACCGGATGAGAAATGCTGACTCTTGGCTCTTGGATCTTGGGCTGTGCCTGTGGCGCCGCGCCGCGCACTAGCTACCAGGTACTCACATATCAGCACTTGGGCCGAGTGCGGCGGTATACCGCCGTAGTGGTTCATAGGGCGGAGGTGCTAACTTCTAGTTAACTCCGTGATCACTGATTCACTGATAGGTATCTTGGATATGTACGCCGAGCTTGATAGCGACTGGAATCTCGGCACCTGAGTCGTGTCGGCGGACTTGAAGGTTGGAACTTAGAACTGTTCCAATCACCAAAAACACTCAGGGCTCAGGGGTTGATGAGAACGAGTTTCGCCCCGAGCACGACTCATGATGATCGTTAGAGTCTTGGTTGAACTCGGTACATGGATTTCCCCAATCGCTAAAACAAACAAGCTTCCTTCCTCCCTTCATGTTCCAAGTTCTAACGAGGATGTGATCCTCCCTATGGTATCATACGCAGCCAGGCATCATCGCTCATTCCCCCAGCCCTTTATTCACAACACAACACGGCCAATAATTCCCCCGTCCCCGTTCCGACACTACGGACCCGGTGCACAGCCCTCCTCCAAGCCCTCCTCCAAGCCCTCCAGTCCCACGCGCCCCCAGTGCCCCGGCCCCCTCCGCACCGAAAACCTCCGAAGCCGCATCCTTTTGCTCTTCCTCTTCCGAATCCAATTCTCGCCCGCTCTTGCGGTCAGTTATGATATGCGGTCAGTTTATGCGGTCGAGTCTAGCGGCCGACGCCATATTAGGCAATCCATGCCCGACGGCGATCCCCCGATTCTTCCGATTCCTCCGATTGCTCCGAGACATCTCGGAGGGTTGCTAGTGTCTGGACTCTGGGGTCCCAGCACGCATATGGACACAACTAGCCCGCTATACAACACCGATAACTGTGGGAGTACAATACAACCTCTATGTATCGTCATCACTCCCCCGTCCCCGTCCCCGGCCCCCGCTATCGAAATATCTATACCAGGGAGGGAGGACAAACACGATGTTTCAGCGTTTGCACCTCGACCTCTGCACCTCGGCAGTTATACCTAGCAGTGCTGACTCACGACAGCTCACTCGCGCTCCCGGGCTCCCGCGCTGACGACCATCGTGATGACCATATTGAAGTGCGCAAGGTTGGTTCATCTGCAGGCGATTAATATACACAAACAAACACGAACAGCGGCAGAACCTGCACAAGCTGCACAAAATCAAACGGCCCTGATCCTGATATTCCCTGCCGCAAGACAGGGCAGGGCAGGGCAGGACAGGAGTCATGCTGCGGTATTGCTACATACATACATCGAGGCCTACGCGCAACGGCTTCGGGGTGCCGGCTGGGCAGCCGCATGGGTTCTCTGCGCTCTGCGGGGGGGATGGGGGAGGGGGGAGGGGCGTGCTTGCGCACGGATCAGGGTCTGTTCCGTAGATTCGCAGTCGCAGTGCATGCTCTATGCGTAGGGAGGGGTACCTGGTGTAGTGTGGGGGTGGGGGTGCGGGGGGGAGATCGCAGATCGCGGGTTCCTAGCCTACGAAAAGGCCGGCGCGCGCGTGAGATATTCACGATGCGACGGCCTATCCTATGCAATATTGTCATCTTCTATGGAGGATCTGGAGTCTGGACTTTGGACTTTGGATGCTGCAATATGGGCGGTAACTACGGGCGGCGGGGGGGATAGATTTGTAGATACAGTGACGATCGCTGCAGCTTACGCTTCTCTATGCTCCGCCCCGAGACGGTTGTGGTGGTGGTGATGGTGATGGTGATGGCCGTTGGTGGCGGTTAACTAGTTTTAGAGTAATAGAGTATCTGTGTAGAGATCACGACTTCGGCTTCTGCGTCACGCACTTTACTCTACATCCTGACGATGTCTTCTCGAGCGAGTCGATTAACGAGCCTTGGTACGTACTCTACTCTAATCTAGGTACTGTACTCTATTCAATGCACCGGGAAATCGGCACGTTGGACTTTCGCCCTGAGACAGCAATATCAACGCTTGGATTAACTGCCACCTCTTCCCGTGTGACAGACAACAGGTCTGGAAGAACGCCCAAAATGAGGCTGGCGAGCCGGGCTCCGGCCCCCAGAGACGGTACATATCCTAGTTCTTGCTTGATGAGTTAGAGTGAGTACGTACCACTACAGGAGCCGGAACTGACGAGACTGGTATGTGATGGATGAGACATGGACGCGTGACCGTAGATGCGGTAACTGCCGGACAGGATACGTTGGGTGAGATGGTGTGTTCGAGATACGATGCCGCTGTCTCCTGAGTAACTACCACGCGCTGTCATGTGTTCCGTCGAGGGGACTCCAGGCAGACGCGTTCATAGTAGGGGATATTCCTTCCCGGTTCTAGGAACGCGGCAAGGCCATTGCGTGGCAGAGTTATCCAATTCGGCACGTGAAGAGGGATGCACCCTTATGCCAAGCCTCCTTTGCGCTACTGCAACCTTAAACCCACTAGCAAAACATTTCCCACCACCCCGCCACGCCCGATCACTCAACCACGAAGGATTCCACACTCCCCCCACCACGCTCCCTCCTCCCCCTCCAAAGCGCAAATCACCATGCGTCCCTCCCCGCGCTCCATGGCATTAGCCATGTTCCGCTTCCCCTCTTTGCGGGCGACGAAGCGGGTCACGATCATCAAGGGCCAATCGACGAACCTACACATCAAGGGCGTATTCAAGCCGGGGTCTCCCGCGATCCTGATCGTGTCGACTGCGCCCGAAGAGGAGATCCTAGACATCCAGAACTTCCAGAAGTACGTGTCCGACATCATGAGCAAGAAGTGGCCGGACACGGAGCTGCTCGGCGGCCGCATCGAGTACGGCCTCAGTATCGCGTTCGAGAAGCGGCGGGTGCGCAGGGTGGAGACCGTCGAGGATATTATCGAGTTGGCCAAGACGAAGGGGTTCCCAGATGCCGACCTCGTCGAAAAGTGGGTGCGCGCCCGCCTCGAGAGGTGTAAGGGCATTGGCCCGTGGAATATGACCAAGGGCCAGATTACGTTTTCGGGGGTGCTGGGTGGGCGGGAAGAGGTGTTGGCGCGCCAGAGGATGGCGGACGTGGTGCCGCGGGGGGATAAGGCGATCAGGTTGAACGTGTCGCCGTTCCACCGTCCTCATACGGATCCGAAGGAGAAGGATATTATGGCTGTACGGCCGGGAATCTTGATTGATCGTGGCAGGGTACGGTTCGATGGATTGCTCAAGCCTCAGCCGGTGGAGGACGACGGCCAGAAGGGACTTGTGAACCGCCCCATGCATACAATCCTTAAGCCGACAAGGACGGAACCGATCGAATCGCACTCCGGTCCGACCATCAGGAGACCAACTCTCTTTCGAGATGCATCCCCGGAGCCGGAGCGGAAGGACCCGCACTATCCAGCTCCAATGGACGGTCCAGTGATCACGAAACTGTCTGAATACCGCGAATATCTCCCAGGGGAGGTCCGGACACAGCTGTCGGGGGAGGAGCGGGATAGGGAGAGGGAGAGGGAGAGGGAGAAGCTGAGGGAGATGGAGAGGGAGAGGCAGAGGCTGAGGGAGATGGAGGGGAAGAAGCCAGTGCAGGTGCAGGAGCCGGAGAAGGCAGTCTACAAACAAATGGTCCGTAAAGACACCGAAAAAGCCAGTGCGATCGCTGCAAAGTTCGCCGAGCTCGAAAGAATGATCAGTGAAGACGAGGCCTTGAAACCCACCCACGGCGAAAAACTCTACCAATATAAACGGCAATCGAGCATCGAGCACGACGTCGACGTCGACAAATCCTTCGACTACGCCAAATCACCATCCTCTCAAGACCGGTCCTACGACAGCAAACACCCCTCTACTCCCTCATCTCAGGAGCAATCCTACAGCCGGCAAGGGGCTCAGCGTTCCGAATTGCAGCAGGGCCGCTATTCCCCACCACGCTCTCAAGAGCAATCCTACGACCGCCAAAACCGCTCTCCCTCATACTCGGACCGGGAGCGACCCCAGCGCGATTACAGATACGCGCGCTCCAGTGAGCAGCGCGATTCCACCCTTCCTCCTCATCCTCCTACTTCTCCCACTTCTCCACCGGAAACCCCGGAAGGCGCATCAGCTAACCCTTCCCCCGCGAAAAAGCTGAAAATTATCCGCTTCGCCAGCGGGCCGACCGACGACGAGAGCCCACTAGAGCCTTCAGCTGTCATCATCAACGATAAGGACACGCACACCGGTCCGGTCATCACATGGCCCTGGCACCACGTCCCTCCTTCCGAAGACGGCACTCCTCCCCCTATCCGGTATCACCAGGTGGACAGGCCGAGGGGATTGATCCGAAGGCATTACTGCAGTTAGATGGAAGGTGGGAAATGGGAACTGGTGGGGAGAGGGGGAAGTGCGTGGAGCTCTGCTTGGAGGCGTTCGTTTACACGTGACGGGGTGATCTGTCGTGTTTCATTATATTATCGCGGCAAGATTTACATTGTGCCGGAATCGTGTCTTCATAGAAAGGGGGGTTGTCGATGCTGTAATTGTACATATCATACCACTCGCTCTGCTCTGTTCTACCTAAGTACTCCACTAAGTAGTTCCCGATGTCAATATCCATCGCGCAGCGGATTTTGCGGGTCATACGCAGGTACCGGTCGGCGGTCAGGCAATGTATGTACCTGCATGCGGGGCAACCCCACTTCCCCACCCCACTTCCCCACTGTGGGGTCGAAGCCAGTGCGGCAGTGCCCCACCACCGCAAGTTCACTCAACCATCGTACCATATCTTCAGTGCCCGCAGTTTGTGTAAGAAAAAAATGGGTATGTAAATAAGCATCTATCCAATATCTACACGTGAAAGATCTACTGTATATAGTACCGTAGGTAACTCCCAATGGCAAGAAACCGAACCCGAAACCCGAAAAAGAACAGAAAAAAGAAAGAAAGAGAAAAGCATTATATCATAACCAAATCGAAAACAAAACTCCCAGTTAATCCCATGATGCATCGTACTATGCGAAACCTAGCCCCGCCCCCCAAAACCCGACACCGTTTTGTCTATCCGCCGAGAAGGAAACCCATCTAGATTCTAGATCTGCATAGGCTTGAGGTCAGCCGAGACCTTGAATGGCGCTTCGGTCTTGGCCTTGATCTCGTCGACGGTAACACCCTCCGCGTGCTCGATCAGTGTCAGCCCCTCCGTGAAGTCTACGTCGAACACGGCCAGCTCGGTGATGATGCGGCTGACGCAGGTGCGGCCAGTGAGCGGGAAGGCGCATTCTATATCATGTCATGTCAGTAAACGTATGTGGTGTGATGGGGACGGGGATGGGGTGGAAGTACGCTTCAGGATCTTGGGGTTGCCCTTGCGGTCGGTGTGCTCCATGGTGACGACGACCTTGGTCTTCTCCGGGTTGGATACGAGGTCCATTGCTCCTCCCATGCCCTTTATCTTTCCGGGCAGTGCCCACGAGGCGAGGTCACCGAACTGGTTAACCTGCATAGCTCCCAGGATGGTGAGGTCGATGCGGCCGCTGCGGATCATGCCGAACGACTCCTCAGAGCCGAAGATGGAGGCGCCAGGGTTGAGGGTGACGGTCTCCTTGCCGGCGTTGATGAGGTCTGGATCCTCCTGTCCCTTCTGCGGGTAGGGGCCGAGGCCCAGGATTCCGTTCTCGGACTGCAGCTGCACCTCGACGGACGGGTCGACGAACGACGGCGCGAGCATGGGCATGCCGATGCCCAGGTTCGCGTACATGCCATTCTTGAACTCCTTCGCGGCACGCTTCACGATGCGCTCACGCTTGTTCGCGGTCTCGCCCGAGCCGAGCGCGGAGGCCGCCGCCTCCACCGGGTCCTTGGCGTACACGCGCTTCTCGATGCCCTTCTCGGTGGTAGACTGCACCACACGGGTGACGTAGATACCGGGGAGGTGTACGCTCGAGGGGTCGATACCGCCCGCGGGGACGATTTCCTCCGCCTCGACGATGGTGACCGCAGCGTTGCGTCCCATCGCGCCATTAAAGTTCGCGCCCGAGTACCGGAACTGGCAGTTCCCCAGCGGGTCCGCCTTCCACGCCTTGACGAACGCGTAGTCGCCGCGGATCGCCTCCTCGAGGATATAGCTCTTGCCCGCGAACTCGCGGACCTCCCGCGGCTTCGAGAACTGCGCCACCGTCCCGTCGCTGTTGTACTTCGTCGGCAGCTCGCCGGTCTGCACCCACGTGCCGTATGCAGCGGGGGTATAGAACGCGGGGACTCCCGCGCCGCCGGCGCGACAGCGCTCCGCCAGCGTGCCCTGCGGCGTGAGCTCAAGCTCGATCTCCCCCGTCAGGTATTTCCGCTCGAACGTCTTGTTCTCGCCGACGTACGAGGCGATCATCTTCTTGACCTGGCCGGAGGCGAGAAGCTTGCCGAGACCGCCGCCGTCGACGCCCGCGTTGTTGGAGACGCACGTCAGGTCCTTGATGTGAGGGTTCTTCTCGAGCTCGTTGATGAGTGTGTCGGGTACTCCGCATAGTCCGAAGCCGCCGGACAGGAGTGTGGAGCCCGACTTCATGTCTTTGATCGCTTCGCTGACCGACGGGAAGACTTTGTTGATTTCGTAGCGACGGGAGGAGGACGCGAAGGTGCGCGCGACGAGGCGGAGGGATTGCTACATGTTGTCAGTACAGGTGCAGACAGATAGCCGGGAGAGCTGGAGTTGGGAGGGCGGGGGCGGACCTTGTTGCCATCCCTCGAGAAGCCCCGCGCAGTGCGGAATAACAGTGCAGTCGTGGAAACCATCTTGTCAATCTTTTTCTTTCCTATTCCTTTTCTCTCAAAACCCAGCTTTCTTCGTTCTGTCAAGAATGATTAAAAAGGAAACCGTGTGGGGAAGAACAGGAGGGTGGTAGATATATTCGGCGAAAGCGGATATGTGAATATCCTCCCCCACCACCAGGGGACCAGTGACCTGACCAGTGACCATAGGTCCATAGCTGCCGCCTCGGTTATTGGTGGAGAAATAGCTGGATAGCGGCAATCATCGGCTCAATGCCCCTAACCCACACCAGGCTTCCGACATGTCCTTCCGACGTTTGGTGGTTCTTCCGGCCGTGCAATTTGTAACCGAATATCAACTCGTTGACATACATACGGTGGGGAGGGAGGGAGCGGGCGACTGGACTCCGCTGTGAACGGACGACCGCTCGGTGAAGAATATCTGTGTACGATCATGCTCTTCTCCACAGCTGCGAACATACCTTGGTAGGTACTTTCTCTTCTGTGGCAATGGCCAATCGACCATTCACTCGCTCGCCAGCTGCTTTGCTTAGATAACCATCTCCAGGCATATAACTCACACTCCCGGCGCGGATCGAGAAACGAGAATCCATCCCGATGCACGTTGCTTATTCCGACGTCGGTCTCGCACTTATCCGATATATCCGCGACGCGTACATAACTACCATGCAGAGAATTGTGCCGAGCGTGGGTTGCACTGTTGCACCGACGACGACAACTGCTCGCTCTAAATATTCCGGGACGGAAGTGTGCAAGGCAACGCCGCCGCCAGTAATGGATCTTCACGTGGAGGAGCAGGAAAGCCCGTGCTTACTTAATTACCCTCACCTGACATGTACCTGCGCCCATAATTCGAGTGATATTTTTAAACATTGTACAATACATTAACCTACATAGTACTCAGAACTCCTTCGCCGTCAACTACTCGTAATAACCCCTCGGCCAGCCGACCCCATTCACGCCTCCATGTCCCTCCTTTCCATCAGCCGGCGAGTCCATCAAGATATCCAGCCTATTCATCCCCGTATCCCTCCTTACGCCGTAGCGCATATGAGTATTCCCAAACATTTCCGCGATCTCGGCGCCATCAGCGGAGGAGCCATTATCGCCGAGGCGATCCACGAGCGGGCGTAGCAGCCTTGCAGTGCTAAGGAACGACTCGTCTTTGCAGAAGACCGTGTTCCCCTTAACCACGGTGACAACGCCGACGACAAACTGCGTGCCCAGGAGCAGTCCCCACGTGAGCCAGACATAGATCCACTTTACGCTGAGGACGACGCCCTCCTCGGGGCGCATCCCGGGCATTTCTATCTTGCGGTTGGATTCGTCCAATATCGCGAGACTGCCCGTGGCGAAGCGCGCAATGTTGTATTCCGCGACGTTTGTGGCCGCGGCGCCAGTGCGACCCTGCCAGTTGTCCCAGCGTGAGGCGCTGTTGTATGTGGCGCTCTGGAACGTGTAGTCCTCTGTCCACTTCCAGATCACGTTGGAGCCGATGGCCGCGGCGGCGTTCCGCGCGAGCTGGTCCGACATCATGTGTTGCGGAATGATGGCGCCGTGCACTTGCGAGATGGTCGTGGAACAGTTGAAGAAGTCGCCGTTGGGGTAGGGCGCGTCTACGTCGTCGGATATTTCTTCCGAGCGTATGAAGCGGTAGACATAGGTTATGCCGCAGCGAGGGCCGCAGCTGGGTTGGTCGGCGATGTTAGTACCCCCGTCCCTGAGGTCTTGCAATTCGGTGGCGTTCGCGCCGAGGCTGGGGTTGCCGTAGAGCCTGGAAGACGGGTTCAGCCACGATGTAGTTATGCATAGGAGGAGAGGTAAGGAAGGGAAAGGAAAGAAGGCAGACAGACGTGGTTGATTGCCCGCTTTCTCCCTGTACCCACGGGTGTTCCGTTAGGTTTTTGCTGGTACCGTCGCCGTCGGTATCGACGGCTATGAAGTCAACGCCGTCGCCCAACTGCCCGGTGACGATAGGACTCCATTTGCACTTCGTGGCTATCGTAACGAACCGTTTGGACTTAGCCATCCTATCCCGGCCTTGGGGATTGTATGCTGATTCCTCGAACTGACCGCCCCCGCCCACCATCAAGTCAGCCCCGGGACCAGCGAGCGAGCGAAACCCAGTGGAGATCGATCCATACGTAGTACTTGAATTCATTCGTAGCATTGACGTAGACGAGGTCGATGGAATTGTAATCCTGGTCGTCACGCAATTTCTCTCCTTCGTTCCGATCTAGAAGGTTGATGGATGTGTCTCCATACAGATGCGCTACATAATTCTGTGCGAAATACATTGGCCACTCGTTCGGGTCCTGTGACTGGTAAAAGTTCAGCTTGGTGGAGTTGACGAGTCCGGGCACGATTCTCTGCGCGCCTTCGTTGTCGTGGTTGAAGGTGAGACCGAGTGCTGCGAGCCCCACTTGCGCCGTCTTTCCGATCCATCCGTTAGCAGCTGTCTCTCTCTCATTCCAAGACAGAGGTAACGGGGAGCGCATACTATTCCCAGGAGGATCCAGCTTGCCATAAATATGAAATACTTTGGCTTCCCACGCCAATGTTTCAACAGCCTCGTCGCCGTGCCGTAACTCGACATGCCCAGGATGAGATCCAGCTCCTTGGCCGAATGTCCACCGTACGCCGTACTAGCTAACACCTTCCACCTAAAGATGAGAGCCATACTCTTAAAGCTCGCCTGTTTATTTTCCCGCATCAGCGCCGTTCCCCACCGTTTCCACCACCGCCACAACACGCAACACCTACCACGAGGTTCAAACCATACATCAACGACACGCCCAGATAGAGGGCATTGAAGACATGTTTCTCGGTGCCATTCAGCACGCCCTTATGCTGGTACTGCATGAAGAGGCCGGTAGTGGCGGCGGCCAACACACAGCTCAGCAGCCAGCGGGCCAGGATCCGCAGCGAAATCCGCCGGAACTGTTTTATCCGCCGGTACTGGTGCCGCAGCTGGTTCTTGGCTGGCGGCAGGTATATTGCCGACTCGCGGTGCGTGGGGTGCGGGAACGGCGTTTGCGGGGTTGGCGGCGAGTGCGGCGAGTACTGCGTCGGCTGCTCCAGAAGCGCCTCGTGGTCGTAGTAGGTGGGCGCCGTGCTCGAGAACGACGAGCCCTGTCGCTGCCGCTGCGCGCTCTGTGGATTCCGCAGGCTTTGCGGAGTCTGCATGCTCTGTGGACTCTGCGCGTAGAGTGGGATGCCCTCCCCGACGGGACTATCGCCGTAGTCGGGCAGGCGCTCGTAAACTGTCGGCGGGAAATAGCTGGACATTCTGGATATCGACAATAGACATGAAGATGAGGAGAGGGAATGGCATTCGAGGGAAGGGGCATTTTTCAAGTCTCTCCTCCCCCCCGCTCTTCCTTCCTATGTTGGTAGCCATCCCCCTCGCTAGGCAGCCAGTTTAATATATGGTCGCACTAGAGAGAGTAGAATAATACGAACCAGCTAACAAGTTAACGACAGCCAACCACGTCCAGGCCTCCAAGGTTGGTTATCCGTGTCGTGCGCACTGCAGATCCATAAGCCAACTCGTACATGGAGATATGAATATTACCCGTGGCTTCGCTAAAGAGAGGAATAGTTACCATCATGCGCAGATGCATAAGTCGTAAGCCGCCTCCTACAAGGGCGTGATGAAATGTTGATCATGATCAGTAGATAAGCAGTGTCGGCCGCCGCCCAACGTCAAATGGCTACTAGAGATCTGACTAAGAAACGCTCCAGCGTGCGCACGGGTTTCCGATTCGCCTAAAAGTCTCGCCGGCCAGCCGAACGTGCGCACGACTTTCCGCTTTCACTGGGCTCCGTGTGTAGCCTCACCAGTACCACCCATCCAGCGCCCATCCACTCGGGTGGGCAAGATGCCTCCGTATATAGGGGTGCGACAAGAGGCCTTTCGAGTGCAAAGAAACGAGAGACCTGCTGGCCCCTGGGGGAAAAGCGGAAGAACCACGGGAATTTTGCCACCTTGCTGTTTGCTTGCCGCCTACCGGTGTGCATATGTAGGAGCACTGGAACAGTGGAACAGCAGTTCCGGGATATATATAAGTGTGCTTATTTTTAACCCACTTTTACGGTTTACCCGTACCTTACTTCATGTAGTACTACATTTGCCAAATTGCCATTTGGTGAGTGGTCCAACAAACAGAAGTTAAGAACTTCCATTTAAAGCATACAAGCGAGACGGGCGATCTAAAACTCCGCTTCCGGTCCGCTGCACCGGCCGTGGTTAGGGGAGGTATGGAGGGCCTTGGTCGAAACGCGTCCGGCGTCCTCGGTGAGGTGGTGTTTTGGACGAGTAATCAAGGGGCCACCTACCGTAGGTATACTCCAAGTGGACGGATGTATGTAGAACTTTACGTCGATTTATCCGGCAACTAATGCTCAGTAAGATAATGGATTTGGTACCGGGGCCGCAAGGCAACGCAAGGATTCCACAAAGTATTTACCTAGATAAATACTGGACAATCTCCACTGCCTTTGAATCCAAGATTACCGTACCTATCCCGCTATGTACCAGTACACCTCACGCTCTGCCCCGTTTATTACCGCTAACTACATACCGGTATCTACTGCTGCCGGAGCGCTGTGGCGTGCCTACTATACATAGCCAAGTATTTTTGAAGCTCTATACCTAGTAGAGCAACGCGAAACCGTGGATTCGTGGCGCTTTGGTTTGTTTTTGGCACTCGTTCCACTTCAAACGTCCAGGGATTCGGTGAGCCTTGAGGCCGTGCTGGATTTATGGATTGTGGATTGGCTACCAAATGGGTATTTTTGCATCGCTAAAACGCCATCGCCGACGGAGATACAGTTGGAACTAGATGTCGTCACTGTAGGCTGTAGCGAAGTAGGTACTCAACACGAATCCATACCGATTCCCCACTTTTAAAGTACTCGGTACTCGGCCCTCACCTCAGTCCGCCACCGTCCCGCGTCTGCATACGTAGAGTATGAGTCTCGCTTCGGAATTCGCAACTACCGCTTTGCTCTGCTCCGGTCCGGTTCACGACGGGAGTCATGCAAGATCACTCGAATCCTGTAGACGTGGGCGGATTTTGCAGCCATATTCGTCATTGATTTCACACTGATCCCACAGTGCACATCCGGAGACAGTCGTGGTTTGTTTATCTGCTATAGTACAGATTACTCCGCACCCGGAGACTGGAGCCAGTAGGGGGAGTTCGTGTAATTGCTCCCGGATGATTCCGCAGAGTTGTGATTTCAACTTTCCCGTACCCGCGTGGATAGGCCGGTACACAGGTACCTGGATTTTGGTTTAGTCTCTACGAATATACGATTGACCGATTCGAGGCGGGCTAGATGCGCAGCGAGTTCAGGGGTGCGGCTGAGTGGGTGAAGTTGCCGTCGGAACGCTCGACTAGCGGGTTCTTGTTTCCCTTCTATTGATAAAAAGGCAAAGTGAAGAGGAGGCGTTGCACCACTGGGGGAAGGGGGAGGGGGAAGGAGGCGGCGGGGGAGAGGAACCCTTTGCGAGTATTGCCCCGGACCCTGAAAAAATATTCCACCTATTCCCTGGTTAAGTAGATTTCTCGGAGCCGAAACCGAGTTGAGGGCCCGCTGATCCCGCGAGCCTTGCGGTTTCTTCTCGATTCTGTTTCCCTTTCGAACAGCGCTCCGCAGTCTGGACTCTGGAGTGATCGGCCCGTACTGGGGCTACGGTGGGTGAGTGGATAGTGTAGTAGTACACACATACACAGAGAACTGCATGGACTACCAAAGTGGCTGGGTGAATATTTCCCAGCGGTGTCGGGCCGATACGACAAGAATTATCCCGACCAGACGTGATCTCGAGTCGAGCATTGAAGCAGGCACTTAGATGAATTAAACGTGCGAGGAGTCTATTTCTGTGATTCGTGATGTTGCCTACTCGCAGCCTTGTCCCTGTTGGAAACATTTTCGATAAATAGTGGATTTTGTTTTTAATAGCGGGGAGACTCTTTTTTCCCCACAGTCAGTGGTCTGCGTGGGGGTGAAAGGGTACTGTGAGATAGCGGGGAAGAAAGAGATGCAGACGCGGACTGACTGCTAATCGATCTCGACTGCGCAGGCGCGACTGCCGCAGTAGGCAGTTACTCTTCCGGGCTGGCCACCACCAGCACCACCCTAGCAACCAGGACCCTTTCCCATAAGGTCACCACCAGTAACGCACGACATCAAACAACACCCGAATTAACCACAACAACCACAACAACCACTACCGTCGCCATTCCGCCTCACCCACCGACGCGCTGCGGACAGCGGATCGAGTGATCTTCCATGAATGCGGCTCTTCGTAGTTCTGCTGAGTCAAGCTGCCGGATGGTCCGGATTTGGCTTGGCAGGCAAGGTGCCAGAAACGAGTCTGGGTTGGGGGGAAAAGGGGAGGGATGGAGGGGGGGGGGGGGGGGGGGGGGGGGGGGGGGGGGGGGGGGGGGGGGGGGGGGGGGGGGGGGGGGGGGGGGGGGGGGGGGGGGGGGGGGGGGGGGGGGGGGGGGGGGGGGGGGGGGGGGGGGGGGGGGGGGGGGGGGGGGGGGGGGGGGGGGGGGGGGGGGGGGGGGGGGGGGGGGGGGGGGGGGGGGGGGGGGGGGGGGGGGGGGGGGAGGTGCAGAGTGATGCCCACATTCTTCGATACGCGTGTTTCTCTTTCTGTCCGTCACATAACCTGATACCGTACCAATACGCACGGTCAGCTCGCTGACGAACTTCTTTCTTTCTCTCGCTATCGTCGTCGTGTCTGTGGTTGGACCATCCGTGCTCATCGTCACCTTCCTCCCTCTCTCTCTCTTTCACACTCTCTTTTTCTTTCTTCTCGTTCTGTTGTTCGTTGGAGGTTTGTTGCAGGGTACCCTGGAAAGATCTATCTTGCTAGACTTGTTATCATATCGATCGGTCGGTCGGCCGTGCTGAGCTTGTCTCTCCCCTTCCTCCTCTCATCGCTTCGCTCCCTTTTTTTTCCTTTCGACGAGCAAGAGCAGCAAGCAGAGTCGCCGTGTCCGCCGCCGCCCCCCCCTCCCCGCTTGCAATACCCGCTCTCCGCAGCAACGAGCAACCACCGCGGCTATCAAGCGCCTTGTGTCCTCTCACCACCCAACAAACTCCGTCGATTCCCTCCCTCCCAAGACCCTGCCCGCTCCACCACAGATCGCCTACCACAACACCAACCCATCCAACCCGCTCGCTACTGTTACTCTGCCACCGCCGCGAGAAGAACACCGCGAGAGAGACAAGGACGCAATTCTCAACGCGACTGAAGTTTGTCCTCGTCGCGTCATCCTACGGCCGACCATCAACCATCACCAACTTACCACCACCACCAACTTACCACCACCACCACCACCAACTTACCACCACCACCACCGCCATCACCCATCACCCATCAACGCCGCCACCACCACTACCCACCACCACAACTACCACCATCGACACCAATCGCTATCTACCACCAGTGCCGCCAAGCAACCAGCCGCGACAGCGTGCACCTCCGCTCGACAACGACCCATAAAAAATAAAAAATAAAAAGACGAGGCTATGCCTGCCCCAGATATAGGTACGCAGAGCAAACACTGTCAACTTGACTCCACCAGAAACCTACCCCTACTGCCTTCCTTCCCTTCACTACAAATCTAACACCACCCCCATCTGCTTAACCAAACCCAACCCTAACTCGCTTTCTAACTGTCACAGAGGTTGTTGCAACAACACCGAAGGTTAGCAGCAACGACTCCGACAACATCAACGTCAACGGGAATGGAAAGCGCGACCGCAGCGTGTCATCCGATGCCGTCGTGGTCGCTGAGCGACTACCTCCATCGGCACCCCCCCATGAGGGTGGTTTGAGCGAGGAGGAAAAGGCGCAACGACGAAAGGATGCGATTGACGAAATCGCGAAAGACCTCTTGACTGTGCTGAAAGAGTACCCAACCCCCCTTCCCACCCCCCATCCGGCGCGTCGGGGTTGGCATTGCGAAGTGGAGGTGTGGCTGACGAGAGGGGTGCGCGCGTAGATACGATCCGACGCCATCCATCCTGAACTACTCGCTCGCATCGATCGAGAGTCCTGAGTCGCAGACGCAACCCCCTACCAAGCGCACCAAGCTTTCGACGCCGATACCCGACACCATTACCGACAGGCTCCTAGCGGGAACCTACTCGTCATTCAATGCGTTTCTGTCCGACGTATCCTCAATTTGTAAGGTGCTCACCAACACGCTGAGCGCGACGCCCAAGACAAACAACGGATCGAGCTGGGAGAATGCCAACACGGCCATCGCCCGAGTCATCCACTTTGAGTGTCTGGCCAAGGATCTCGTGAACCGTCAGCGTAAGCGACTGGCCGATGTCCTGGATCTGACCGACGAGCTCGTTGCGTCCGAGCAGTCGTCGAAGCCCCCCGTGTCGGACAAGATGGCGTTGACAGTGTTGACGTGCGCGGGCGCGGTGTTCTCGTCGCTGCCCATGCCCGACAACATCACCATCCCTTCGAACGTCTCGTCGAGGTCGACGTCCGCTACGGGTTCCCCCAAGTCACCCACTTCCACCGCAGCGACATCCCTTTCTGACTGGCCGAAGCACAAGTCGGAGCAGTTGAGCGTCGTGACACCGTTCGTTGAGCCCGCGTTGGGAGTCTCCCACATCTCGACCGTTAAGGCGGTTCCGGGATCCGAGAAGGCATGCAATAAGAGGACCGTCAAGGCCCCCAAGCTCGGCGAGGTCTTCCCACCGCCGCCCGTGCTGCAGCACTACCAATATCCCCCGGTGGACTATAGGAAGAATGGGATCCTGTGGGGAGGAGGTGTGGGACCCGGTGGCTTCGTGACCCGTCCGGAATTGGATTACCAGACCGAAGTCAAGAGTCATTGGCTGCAGTACACGAACTTTGCGCCCCCCCATCCGAAGCGCCTGCCGCCAGATCCTTTTAAGCAGGGGATCGGCCTTCCGGCGAACTTTGTAGCTGCGTATAGTTCGTTTGCGCCGACTAGGGACGATAGTCTTGCCAAGGTTCCTGTCGAGCTCAGCAATGCCGTCTGGTGGGAGAATAGAGGTGGCAGGATATTCAGGAGGATGTTCAAAGACGATCCAGCTCTCGGGTATATGCACAAGAGATACACGCCTCTTGACCTCACCGATCGACCTGCCGAGTCGATTGCACGGCAGCCCAGCCAAGATGATGTAGACGAGAAGGAAATCGAGAAGCTGATCGAGAATTTCGAGGAGCTTCCGATCGATACACGGCTACTGATGGGTAACGATGCAATGCTGACCGAGGTCTCATCGCTGCTGTCGACCCTACAGAGCCAACAGTACCGCCGCCTCGCCGCCATCATCGCCATCATCGGCCCGAACGAGAATCCCTCGCAACCGGCCAGTGAGGAGGTTAAAACCTACATCCGGCTCCGTGACCGCCTCTCCTCCCTTATCGAGTCCCTTCCACCACACCTTCTCGCCACAATCGACGGCCATGCAGACTCGGAACTAATGCTCTCCTCCAAGCTCCCAATTACGGAGGGCAGACCCGTGTTCAAGGGCACGCTTCCGAACGAAGACATTAAACAAATACCGCAAGTCCAGCAAGCTGCAATGACGGCTATGAATGCGGCGGCTGGCCTCTCCCCTGTCCACCCCGCGCCAGTCGCAAGCATGATGGGGCGCCACCCACAGCAGCAGCAACAGCAGCAGCCGCACCTAATGGGCACCCCCAATGTTTCCCTCCTCCACCAGCAGCAACAGCAACACCATCAACAACAACGAGTGCACCACCACCAACAACCACAAACGCTTCAGCCCCACCACTACGCCTCCCCCGCACCGGGCTACAACGTTCCCATTCCCCACCCCCAGCAGCAGCAGCAGCAGGGATACCACCACCACCAATACCCGCAACACCCCCAGCAGCAGCAACGCCAGTACGCACCCGGACCCCCGCACACGCCGCAGCCGCAGGTGACATATGCGCAGCGGCCGCGCGGGAATGTTCCGCCTCCGCAGGGGCTGGGCGCTATTGGAGTAGGCGGTGGCGGGTACGGATACTCCCCCCGAACCCCGCAGGCGGTGGGAAACGGCCAGGAGAGGTATACTAGGAGTCGGAGGTAGATGTGATGTGGTGGAGGATGAGCCGGGGGGTGGGGAGGGGGCTAAAGGCGGTAATTGATTTTTTTTTCTTCTCATTCTTGAGTTTGGTTTTCACTATCTGTCTCCCTTTTCCCTTTTCCCTTTTTCAAACTTTTCATACTTCTTGCTGTCTGCTTATGGGGGGATTAACTTCTTTCTGGGGGTTGTATCTTTCTGGGGGTTGTATATTTCTTCTTTCTTTTTCTGGTTCTGGTTCTACGTTATCTTGTTCGTTTCTTGTTCGTTTCTTGTTGATTACTACTACCTACCTACTTACCTTCCTACCTAACCTACCTATGATGGCGGGGGGAGGGGGTGGGGATGGAATAGTTTCTCAAAGCGGTATATGCAAATGAGAGAGAGAGCTGAGTGACGAGTCGTGCGTGCGCGTGTGTTGGCTACGGCTACTTATCTCCTTGCGGTTATCGGTCGTTCTGTCGGAAGGGAATCGGGATGTCACGAGTAAAGTAAAGTAAAGTAAAGTAAAGTAAAGTAAAGTAAAGGGAAAAGTAGAAGTATGAAGAATGGAGTACCGTGTGTAGAGTAACAAGCAGGCAAGCAGGCAAGAAGGCAGGCAGGCAAGAAAGAAGGCAAGAAAGAAGGCATGCAAGAAAGCAAGAAAGAAAGCAGGCAAGATGCAAGCAGGCAGGCAAGAAAGAAAGCAAGAAAGGTATAGAGGAATATATCCCATCTCTTCTGGAACAGGCGTGGTGGTATGGTCACTGGTGCGGATGGCTTTGTTTGTTTATGAAATGCGTGCGGACCTAGGTATGTATATCGGTATCTGGGTGAGTCCGTAATGGATCGTCGTGACTCCCTCCGCCCTGGCCAGTGCCGCAGATACAAAGCTAGGAAAAAGAAAGAGTCTGCTACGGGGTCCTACCGGTACTCCTTCTATCACTAGGAGATGCCACTGCCACTGCCACGAAGGAGGGTGTAGGGACCCCAATCATCAGCTCAGCACCCTCCACCTCCTCCTTCTCGTTCCCTTCTCTCCACCGCTCCGAAACCCCCGCTAGCTGACTCACTGGCTGGTTGGCTGGCTGGCTGATTGGCTGGCTGGCTTGCTGCGACTTCCTCAGCGGCGGTGGGGGATGGTATTGGTGGGCAGCGTCCGCCATTGGCTCAGGAAAGCCAACAAAGTCAAGACCTGGTCGAAACATGATAACGCAGACATCTACCGGACCAACCGTCACTCGGTGTGCATATGGGCATTGGAGACCCGAGTAGAATACACAGCACGCAAGTCCCGAGCAAGTAATAAACATCCCACCAACTAGTATTGACCCGCGTATCTCATCTCCACTCTCACAGTAAGTAAAAAAACAAGTGAAGTACTCAAGTACATACATAAGAAGGTTATGTAGGTAATCATAGCCATATCCCTTCCCCATCCCCATCACCATCCCCAATGCCCATCCCCCCCATCCCCATCCCCATACCATCCAAAGGGGGTAAAAAATAGGTACAAGACACAGATAACACACACGTACAAAGCCGGGGGAGAATCGAGAATCGAGACAGCTCCATTAGAGTAGAGTAGAGTAGAGCAAAGTACCTTGTACAGCGCCCCGAAAGAAAAGAAAAGAAAGATAAAATAGAACAAAGAAAAGAGAGTTCATTAATCGCATTAATCGCATTTATTCGTTCGTCGACGGTCGTTCATCGCATCTGATCATCTGATCGGTCGTATCCATAATCATAACACCCACTCCGTCCACTTCAAAAACACTTCCCCCCGCGCGCCCCCCCTCCTCCCCAGTCTCCGCAATCGCAGTAAACTCAAACTCAAACGCCAACACCAATCCATTCCAAAACCCAAAAACCAATCATCACGTGGAGTCACTCACTCAGGAAGACCGTCCACTCATAGCGCTATTCCCGCGTACCCTCTCCCTCTCCAGCTCGCGCCTCATCTCCTCGCGCTCCCCGCGCGTCTCCTGTATCTTCTTGTTTGCCATGCTGCGGTCGAGGAGGCGCGCTTCGCGCTCCTGCTTCAGCCGCTTCTCGAGCTCGCGGAGCCGCAGGATCCAGCGTTTTTCGCCGCCGGCTCCGCTGCCGCTACCGCTGCCGCCGCTGCCGCCTTCGGCCGTGGAGGAGCCGGTGGCGCCGGTGGTGGTGGCGGCGGGGTTGGAGGTGGAGGTGGAGGAGGTGGACTTAGATGTAGCCGTGGCGGTGGGCGGGGTGTCGGTGCGGACTACGGCGAGGGGCTTGTCTTTCTGCGACGAGGACGAGGAGGAGGATCTCTGTTTCGAGGGTTCCTTCAGGGAGTCTTTTTCCGGCGCCTTTTCGGTGGCTTTTTCCTTGTGTTCCGCAGGGGCGGCTGAGTGGGAGGTGGATGTGTGAGAGTGAGTGTGAGTGCGTGACGAGCGGTCGCGCTTCGTGGGCGGAGAAATGGCAATACTGGGGTTTGTCGCGGAGTGCGCGGTGTTCTCCGTCTTTAACGTGCCCACCTCGGCCTTCAGCATGCGGTTCTCGGTACGCAGCTTCGCCAGCTCCGTCCGGATCTTCTCTGAGCCCTCGCCCATGCCGTTGCGGATGAGCCCCTCCAGCCGCTCGATACGTCTTGTGCGCTGCTCGACGGCGTTCTCGACCACTTGATACTCTTTCCAGAGGTCGCGTTCGACGCCACGGCACTTCGTCTTGAAGCCGGCGACGATGCTTTCGATGGTCTTGACGGCGATCATGAGGTTCCTCGTAAAGCCGGGGAACGCAGAGATGATAGCGGTATCCATAGAGAGCTTTCCGTCGTCCACGCCCGAGGGACTGGGAGTGATGACGTGCGAATTCCGCGAGGACCAGTCGGCGCCGCAAACAGCGGATAGGCGCTGCCAGACTTGGAGGAGAAGATTATTGCGCTCGGCGATCTGCTCCTTGAATTGGTCTTCGAGATGCTTGAGGCTCTTCGCTTCCTTTTGCCGCTGCTTTTCGAGGACTTCGGTTTGGCGCTGGTGTTGACTGATGCGCCGAGAGTCCTGGGTCGTAGTGGACTGGAGGACTTCGAGAGCGTTCTTGTCGCGTCCCCGCTGGCTACGTTCTTTCTCCAGGAGGTCGGTGAGTTTTCGGCTCTCGAGCGCCATCGACTCGAGAAGGTTCTCGCGGTCTTTGAGGTTGCGGTCTTTCTCCGTCAGCTCGTTACGAGCTTGGTCCAGGTCTTCGAGGGTGGCATCGAGGTCGTTTTGGAGGTTGAGTACGGACTGTTCGATTGAGTGAGCATCGAATGGTGTCAGACGTGGAAGGATGTGACCAACCTGCATAAGCCCGGCCCTGGTACCGCCCAGGTCACCCAGTGCCTCCCTGAGGCCTCGCTCGAGATCTTCAAGTCGTTCCCTCCAGGTTTTGGCCTCATCCTCGCGGTTGCAGACCTTGCTCTTGAGGCGGCGGATCTCGTCTTTGGTCGCCGTGAGCTCTTGGCTCTTCTCGTTCAGGCGGCGCTCCCATTCTTGTTGGCGCAGATCACCGTGCTGCTCACGCTGGTTGCGCTCGGAGTCGATTTGTGCTCGTGCATCGCGGACCTTGTCTCTCTCGTCTTCTATCGCCGCGTCAAGCTGCTTAATTTTACTCTGCAGCTCTCCAATGAGGATTTTGTCTCCGTCCTGCTCTTCCCTCAAGAAGGCAATCTCGCCCTTCGCACTCTCGCCCTGCACAGTGAGGCGCTCAATCTTCTCGTTGTTCTCGCGGAGCGTATTCTCGAGGACGTTCATCTCCTGTTCGTTCTCATGGATGGTACGTTCGAGGTCCTGAATGCGTTCTTCATATCTTCTGATCTCGCCCTGGTGGATTTCCTGCGCATCTTCGAACCGCACCACAGAATCGGAAACATTGCGGAGCTCGCGTTGCATAGCACTGAAGTCCTCTTCCTTGATCCGGATCTCGTCTTCCAACCGTAGGATTTCGTTACCGCGGAGATCAACCTCATCCTCGAGGCGCCGGAGCTCCTCTTCCGCTTCCTCCTTGAGCTGGTCGAAATCGAGTTCGATCTCTTCGCGCTGTTGCAAGGCTTCATCGCGCTCGTTCTGCATCTCTTGGAGCTCGGCGTTTGCCATGTCGAGTTCTTCGCCTGTAGCATCGAGCTCTTCGCGCCGATGTTCGAGTTCCTGGAAGACTTCTTCGATCTGCTGTTCGAGGTCCTGATTCTTGAGGCGGAGCTCAGAAATTCTGTCACGCAAGGCACCGTTGGTGTTTTCAAAGTCCTCTCGTTCGGACTCGGTAACGGTGCTAACGTGAGTACTAGCGGAACTCGCAACACCGCCGGACCGGGATCCTGAGCGTTCAGCCAGCCGTTCCGAAAACACCGACGGAGCCCTAGACGCGCTCTCGAATGCTGGTGCCTGGCCGCCATTGCGCATGCAGATCTTGAGATCCTCAATCTCGGCGTACAAACGCTCTTTCTCGCGATTGCGTGAAGTGAGCATTGATGTCTGGGCGGTAACCTCGCGACGGAGATCCTCGTTCTCACGACGGACTTGACTCAATTGTGTGACGGCGGCGTTGTCTGCACCCCCGCTACGTGACTGAGAGCGCTCGGAGCGCGATGTGGCCCTGGATAGCGGTGTTGCGTGGTCATGAGCGCGCATGCGGTAAACTTCATCCCGTAGCCGCAGGTTTTCCGCGTCAGCAGCCTCGCGACGGGCAGTCTCCGAGTTAAGGAGATCGCGCATCTGCTCCTGTAATGTTGTTAGTGAATAGTATTTCGGAACTGAATTGTAAACCTACGAGCAATTCCTCATTCGCTTGATGTCCATTAGTGGTCTGTCTCCGGAACTCGCGCATGCGCTCAGTCTTCTCCGTATCCCTTCTGCGATATCCTTCAATCTCAACCTCATATTTCTCGATCCTCTCTCTGAGCTCCCATATCTCCTCAGACTCAGCTGCAGCTGACGCCTCTTCCTCTCTCTGCTTCTCGCCGCCGAGTTCCTCGACTTTCCGCTCGAGCTCACGAATGCGTTTCTTGAGGGCCTTGCGCTCCCTCATGCCCTCCGCAAGCTTCACCTTCATGTCGACGTTCTCCTGCAGTGCTTCCTTCACCCCCTCGTCGCTCTGCTTCTCGAGTTTCTCGTTGAGGTAATACACTTTGATCTTGAGATCGAAGTTCTCCTTCTGCAGGCGATCGATGGACGCCGTCTGTTCCTTGAGCGTCATTTCCCTCGCACGAGCAGTAGTAGCCGGCGTTCCCGCTGCAGCCACTGCTTTCTTCGACGGCGAATTGGGAGCTGCACCCAGATGTTGAGAGGAGAATCTTCGCTGAACAGTTGGTGGGACTCGAACATTTTTGACGTGGGCGGTGATGACGGTGTCTGTGGGCTGCGCCAACGGGATAGCCCGCTCTTTCGGGGTAACGGGCCGGTTCTTGGGGTCGTCGTCAGTTGCTGCTTTTTCCTTGGTGTCTTTATCTTTCTCTTTCGTATCAACTTCGGCCACGGATCCTCGGCGGGAGTTGCGCTCCTCTTCGTCCAGTCGAGCGAGTGCCCGGTCCGCTGCTGAGGTGTTCGCGTTTCCACGTTCGCCCCCGTAGACACTGCCGCTGCCGAGTGCGGTCACACCGGAGGCTATTGAGCCAAGAGAGGTCTGCCGTGAGAGAGCCTGGCGATCCCCATCACCGGCCGTGACGGTGCTGCCGTCGTCGTCTTGTCCTTGCATGTCCGATACTGAAGAGATGCTGGATCGCTGCGATTGATCCCTTGAACGTAGGAACTTTGATCTGCGTTGCCGTGATGCAGTTGCTGTGGTGTCCGATCGAGAGGAGGAGGTAGAGTTTATGTTTGAGCCTGAGAGCTTAGTTGTGAGTGGCCGTGCAGATTGTGATCTAAGGTTTGTGGCCGCTGAGGACGGTCTTGGTTCACGGCTGGCCCCATTATGTGACGACCCCACAGACACAACGGATGCGATTGAAGGCTGTCGTTCCAGAGCAAGCCCTATCTCCGACGGCCTTGGGGATATGGTCCTAATCGACCCTCCCTCGACCTCCTCCTGGGCACGGAACATCTCGTTCAGGTTCTCACTGGCCGTTGCAGCGCGGCTGATGTTCCTGACATGCGCCAGCGCCGTGGGCGAGCTAGTGAAGGTCTCCAGGTTCTTGATGTCCTCCTCGGTGGGCGAGGACGTCTCATCCCCGACTATAGCGGCGATCGAGTCCGAGCGGTCGCGAGATCCCTGTCTAGCTGTAGATGCCGTGACATTGCTGTCGTGCCCGATCGGAGCCGTGATGTCGCCCTCGCTCTCCTCCTCATGCACGGGCAGCGGCGGCAGCCCTACCTCTCCGGAGCGCTGTCCATTGACCTTCTCGCCCGAGCGCTGCCGGCCGAGTTCCCTCGACCGCTGCCGCTTCATTTCCCCTGAGCGCTCTCGGCGGAGATCCCCCGAGCGCTGTCTCGTAACCGGGCCCGCCGCGTCCGTCTCGACATAAAAGCTGCTTTCGATCTCCATGAGATATCGCTGCTGGTCGACGGGAAGACTCATGTGGTCCAGGGTGCTGTCATTTTCCTGATCGTAGTCGAGCCGGGAGCTATCGTCCGGCGGTGCCGGCGATATCGACGTCATTTCGATCGGCCACGGTTCCTTGCGGGCGCGCGTGAACCTGAGCCGAAGGATGCTCTTGCGCGTCCAACTCTGCTGTGCTGATGGAGCAGTGGAGAGCTCGTGCTGTGGTGTTGGTGCTGGTGTGGGTGTTGGTGGTGGTGAGAGTGTGAAGATGCGGAGGAGGCCGGGGGATGGAGGTGGTGGAGACGCCCAAGTCGTGGGGGTCTGGCGCGTTATGCTGGACCCGCTTGTGCTCCGAGTCCGTCGGGAAGATGGTTGAGGTGGAGGGGAGAGAGGGTCAACCGGGGCGTACAGTCGGGGTTGCGGCGACGGAGGACGTGGTGATGTTGTTGGCGTGGTGTTTTCAATGAAGTAGCTACAATCACTACAAAATAGTCGCCTAGGGCGATGCAGGGGATGGGATAGCACGACTAGGTCCTAGCTGCGAAGGGCAACGGTTGCCGAGTGGTACAGGGCAAACGAATGAGAAACAGAACAATTCCATCCGTGTTCTCGGAGAAGAGAGAAGAATGCCATTACCATGCCTGCGTAGCCCCTCCGCCGATCACGGTAACGATAAAAGTGGAGACGCACACCGTCAGTCGGCAGGCCGGGTCGCCTTCACCGCAATCACATGGCCGGCGGGCACTATGACTTGTATGACATGACGGCACAGACACCCACTCGATTGAAGTTCGGTAAAACCACCACTCCGGAGCACACGAGGATTATTGGAGGAGACAACCAACGGAGAGTCCTTCCTGCCACACCGTGGGTGGGATCTAGAGCAGGCACCCCCAGGCATCGACATGCTTCTGGTAGACATGTGGCAGTGTTGTGCAAGGCCACGGGCCAATGGATCGTGAAGTCGCAAAGTAACTGAGACCAGTCGATTCCTTCCGAGAGTCTTCCCCCCGCCGCCTCTCGCGGAATTCACTGGAGCCGTGTCTCTGGGCCTCGAGCTGGTCCTGGCAAATTGTGGAGTTGCAGCATATCTCTCTCAACACTGGTCCTTTTGGAAAAGGCGAGCTCAACGAGTGCTCGGTCGTCGAGCGTGATATCCACTGCTGCGAAGCTTCGAGTAATATGGCAGCTGTTGGGACATCATGCTGATACCGAGGATCCAAGGACCGGTTCGACAGTGGACAAAGGGCTATGGGGTTACTCTATGTTCGCGATCTCAAAGTAAGCCGGAAGCCGTGGCGCACTTTACGGCTACCCATCCGTCTGCCTGGCCCAGCAAGTCCTCACCAATCCAGTGACCAATCACCACGACGCGCTGGCGCCAATGAGCTGGCTGTGAAACCACATCAACATCCATGGCGCTGGTGGCGTGTAGAAGATGTGAGTAGTAGTTACTGGTTATCAGGGAGTACGCGCGTACACTGACTCTTTCTCGCTTGCACACCGTTCTTCTCACGGGCTTCGGCGTGTTAATGAAGCCGAAGTCCGACAACTGAGTATATCTGTCAATGGCCACTCGTGCAGTCTATTCGAGTAGGTTCCGTGAATGAGTGAGTGCGGGGACAATCCATTTCACGGCCATGCTCGGCCATGAAGGGTGGCGGCGTGGCGTTACTATGTCCACACTCTACTCTACATGCTGTAGGGTATTTGTAACTCCATGTACAGGCTGTATATACCACTCTAGCATGTGGATCGCTAGACAGCCCTGTCCGCTCAGCACTCTGGCATTCTAGGTGCTCTACCGTATCGGTGCTGCCGGCCGTCAGGTCAGTCTTATGCTGGGCTGTGGGGTGGGGGAGCGTTGTCACCTGTGCACGAAACAACAGACTCATACGTACAAAGTAACTTACCTAACCTTCCCATTCCATGCCCCCTCTCTTCTTCTACCTTCCTCTCGTCTCCCTCCTTCCTTTCCTCTCCTCTTCCAACCCAACCCTTCCAACCTCAAACCTTCCCCATATCCGACGAACTGAGTACTTGTCACAGCCCCGTCTTGGTCGTTGGAAGCCACTTTAACCCGCTCGAGCCTTCTCTAGTTACTACTAGTCGTATCTATCGTCAGGCTCACATACAGACTACATACACTCACCTGCCTGCCCCCGGATTTTCTACTTTAGCTCCGAGCTCCAACCGAGCTTGCAGCTCATCTGCTCCGATCGCAACTGCTGCTTCGTTTCGACGCCACCGACCACCCATCATGCTGCCCGTCTTCCACATCCGTGAGACCGTGGACGAGCTGGGCGAGATCCAGCTTTCGTCGCCGCAAGAATACGATGATCTCATCGAAGAACAACCCGTCGCAACTTTGGGCTACGTCGATGACGACGACGGCGAGGTTATCACAGTACGTCACCGCCAGATGAACACACAAACACCCTCCCCCTCTTGCTTGCTACGAGAGTTACTGATGCGTCGTGGGTTGTCTTCAGGTCGGATCGTCGATAGAACTCTATGATCGCATTGACGAACTGCAATCCATTCGACCAGTCGTGTTTAACCTTCTCACATCGCTTCGCTCTTGGCCGCAAACACCCCATACCGCGGAGGGCATCCGTGTGTGGAAGGAATTCGTCGAGCGCAAGGACAAGCGAAAGGGAAAGGGTAAGGAGCCCGTCCGGCCAGACGAAGAAGAAGAGGAGCCACAGGTGGATGTCGTCGATGGGGGCTACCTCACTGCGGATGAGGGCGAGCAACCGAAACCGTTTTTGACGGTGTTTGAAGAGGAGCTACAAAAACTACTTGATCAATCGCAACCAAAAGAAAAGACGCTCGCTTCTACGCAAAAGCGGGATCAAGCACCTTGCTCATCCTCCGCCGGAGCCAGCTCCACCACCACCACCCCTGCCGATATCGTTGCTCAGGCTGTCGAGAGCATGAACTGGGCCAGTCAGAGCATCAACCGACTGCACACCGAGCTGCCACAACGTGCGCAGCCGGCCGTTGTTGGCCTGAGCCAGACCGTGTTCAGTGCCATGGGTGCGCTTACCACGCAGCTTTCGCAGCTCGCTCAGGATGCGTCGATGAAGGCTCAAAAGGCGGCTAATGTCACGCGAGAAGTCGACACCACTGAGATCGAATCCGTCTTGGAGAAGATTAGAAATTTGGCCGTCGGTATTGGCCATGTCGCTAGCCAAAGCGCGAGTGTGGTTGTCGGCGAGGTCGCTGTTGAGGCTAGGAAAGCTGCCGGCAATGCGAGGAGGGAAGTGTTGAGAGAGGTCGGCAGGGCTAGAGAGGAGGTTGAGAGGAGTGCACACGAGGTTGTTCGTGGGTTTTCAGGACAGCGGGCAGAGCTTTCGACACCGGCTACCCCGACGGAGGCTGGTGAATCCAAGGCGGAGACGCACCAACAGGCAACATCAACAGATGCGGATGAGGAAGATCGGGAACTATATCATGCCTCCCCTCGGCCTATGTCAACTCCGGCTGCTCGCTCCTCCACCTCTGCTTTACACTACCAATCGTGCGCCGATTGGCTCAAGGATGTGAAGGAGAAGAATGCTCGAAGGGAGTCGGACGCTGACCCCTTCCGTCCGAGAAGAGAAAACGACGATGTTGCGTTTTGGCAGCAAATGGACAAGATCGCACGCTACGCCCAAGGTCCCAGCAATCGAGCGCCTGCAACCACCGACGACGATCAGAAAGAGGCGGACGAGAAAGCTGCGGACGAGAAAGAACGGGCTTCCGTCTCTTCGCAGTCTGACGAGGATGCGGATGCTCGTGGGGGTCGACGAAATCGCTGTGGCTCGAGACATCGCAGTCGCTTGGAGCGCTCTCGTGATGATTCCGGGATCGATCATCGACGTCGACATGGCTCACGGAGGCATCATGGCGCTTTCCACCCCCCGTTTTCCCATAGGTCGCAACGTGCCTGCACGCGTGGACATCCGCTGCCGCCGCCACCACCTCCACATCACTCTGACTACGTGCAGCCTGGTCAATCGCGTCTACCAATCCCGCTTGGTCGACCTCTGCCACCATCTCCTCCCTTGCCACCGGCCCCCCTACGTCCACCTGGCGATTTCGATTTCCGACCCTTCCCTTTCCCCGCGATGTTCTCTAACTTTCCCTTCCATCCTCCTCCTCCTCCTCCTCCCCCACCACCACCACCACCACCTCCTCCTCCCCACTGCCGCACTTCTTCCTTCCCTCCCCCGCCTCCCCCTCCAGCGCCACCATCGCACCCCCATATGTCATTCCGTCGCTTCGGCAGCGCCAGCGGCACCATTTACCGCCCTCCGTATTTCCCTTCGGAGGCACCGAGACCTCTTCGGACAGTCGACCTTTCAAGGTCCCTCTCTCCTGCCCAGCCGTTTCCCAGTCTCGTTGGACCGTCCTCAGACGACGATGCCAGGGAGGATCCATTCGCGACGCCTCCAAGAATCCCCTCACCACAAGAGGCTTCACCAGAAGCGGAAGTCCCCTCGCCATTTCCTGCTCCAACACCAGCTACCTTCCCTTTCAACACGTTCACCCAAATCTTCCCCCCTTCCGCACCGGCAAATGCTCCCCCTCACATGTTCCAAACCTATTCGGACATCATTGGCAACCACATTATATCCTCATCTGATGACAACAACCCGTTCTCGGAGGCCCGGGTCCGAGAAAAGTTGGCGGCGTTGGACGCCGAGGTTGCACAATCCGACAAAGAGTTGGAGGAGCAAATGAAGGAGCAGGACCGGGTGATCGAGCAGCAGCGGAAGCAGCGGGAGAAGGCGGCGGAGGAGCTGGCGCGCCAGGTGCAGCAGCAACAACGCGAGATGGAGGAGAGGCTCGAAGCCCAAGCACGTGCTAGAGAGGAGCAGGAACGACGCCTGGCAGATGAGCAACGCGAGAATGAGGAACGCATCCAACAGGCCGAGTATGCGCGGGAAGAGGAAATGCGTGAGTATGAAGCGCAGCTCGAACGCGAGGCCCGCCGGAGGGACGAGCGCCTGGAATGGGAGGCTCGCGAGAGGTCACCGTGGATCGGACAGGCGGAACAGCAGACCGAGGAGACGGCGGAGGCTGATCCAATCGAGGCCTGCGTGCAATCACTGTTGGAGATGGGATACGGAGAGTCTAGGGACACGGACCAGTTGAGGGCGTTTGCTAACCTGGTCATGGGAAGTCTTGAAGATGCTATCGAACTCATCGAGGAGGATCAAAAGGCGTGGGAGATATTCTAATTCACCACCAACCTACCTACCTTGTGCTTATCTTCAGTGAACCCTTTGCTTTTTTGAGTTTGATATGATATGATGGTGCTTGGGATTGTTTTTGGTTTTTGGTTTTTGGTTTGATGTTACGGCCGTTGGTTTTTGCTTTGGAGGAAAATCACTCTACTCGGACTTGGACTTGGACTTGATATTGTTATCTGAATTTTTGATTGCTTGCAGCTTTGGTTGTCTCTCTCTGGTTAGTTGTACTCGATTGCTTGCGGGAAACTAATGTTGGTCTTTACGATTGAGTGAGTGAGTGAGTGAGTGAGTGAGTGAGTGAGTGAGGGAGTGAGTGAGTGAGTGATGTCAAAAGTGAAGAGAACATTGATTTGTTGTCGCATACCTACGGCCTTTCTAGACTATGGCCATATCCTGCCTTTCTTCCCGTTCCCTGAGCTCCCACTCGGAGACTTCAATTGCTGCATCCTCAGCGACCTCCAAAATCCACGTCGCCGGAGTCGAGCTAGGCGCCTAAAGAGGCGTATTCTGGTGGGAAGCCAGGGACAATGCTAAGACACCACGAAGGCCACGAAGACTGCGAAAGACTGCATATGCGACGATGCAAAAGGACAGAGCACAGAGCACAGAGGAAAGTAGCAGGGATGCCGGAATAGGTAGGCAATGAGACGCATAATACCAACAATTATGTACGGCAGGTATCCACAGCGAGTGACATTGTATGATTATGGCGCCGACGTGTCGGCGCTAGCGTAGTGACCGGTTCCAAGGCCCTGTATACAAGCATGTATCTACTAGTAACGTCACGTCACGCCGTCACCTTCACGTAACTTCGCCAGCAGCACATCACAGACAATGGGAAGATCACGATCACCACGGCGCGAGCGCTCACGAGACCGGAATCGACGGCGGGAGAAGGGCAGGAGCAAAGATAGGGAGAGGGAAACGGGCAAGGAGAGGGAACGGGAGCGTGATGGGTGGAGGGGGAATAGGGATAGGGAGCGGGATAAGGATCGGGACAGGGACCAGAAACCGCGCGAACATCGCGAGCACTCAAAAGACCGCCGCCGGCACACCTCCCAAGACCGCGAAAGCTCCCGCGCGAAAGAGAAGTCCAGCAGCCGGCGTCACTCCTCAAAAGACCGCAGCTCGCGCGCCAAATCCACCTCCGCCCCCGCGGCCGCGCGCGGCTACTCCCCACCGCCTCTGACACCCTCCGGCGCGGCCGCGCGCCTCGCTTCCGGCTCTGTCAGCACGCTCCCACCGCCCAAAAACCCCAGCGACCCCACCTCTGCCGAGCCTCCCGCCGACAAAGAGCGGCCGAACTTCTCATCGACGGGGCTTCTCGCCGCCGCCGCCAACACCACCGCGACCGGCGCGGTGCTGAAGTACCACGAGCCGTCGGACGCGCGGCTGCCGCCGCCCACGCCCGCCTACAAGCTGTTCGTGTTCAAGGACGCGGCGATCGTGGATACGATCGAGCTCAATACGCGCAGCTGCTGGCTTATCGGCCGTGATCGCGCGGTGGCGGATCTGCCGGTCGATCATCCGTCCTGCTCGAAACAGCATGCTGTGCTGCAGTTTAGGCATGTGGTCAAGACGGATGAGTTCGGCGAGAGGATGGCCAAGGTTAGGTTGTATCTGTGTGATTTGGAGAGCGCGAATGGTACGCTGCTGGGAGATGTCGAGGTCGAGGGGGGGAGGTTTGTTGAGTGTAGAGAGGGGGATCTGATTAAGTTCGGGACGAGTACAAGGGAGTATGTCGTTATGCTTGACCGTGGGTAGGCGACTAGAGGGGTCAATGGAGGAATATCATTGAAAATTTAGTAAATACTTGGAGTTCTGTGAATTATTTCCGTTTGATCCATATTGAAGTCGTGCTTGAGCTTCGTCTGCCTCACATGTCTGTGAAATGCTCCATTTACTAGGTTTACCGTAGCTCTGCAAGGCGACAGGAAAAAATCACATACGAAAGCTGGTGAAATTGGGTGTCTTGCTGCTGCAGTAAGTCCTCAGATAGGCTCATTCTATGTCCATGACTCCAATCTTTGGTTTCGGCAATGCATTGTATGACGACAAGTGGCCGGGAGTGCGAAATCACATGGCGTACTATAGTTGCGGTAAGTGCCGTGATCGGCTTACCGAAGAGCCTCCGAATAAACACGCCGCAGGCACCGCGTCATCCCACCACCGAGCATCACTCCAAAATCCACCGCGACCTCACCAATTCCTCACTCGTTAGCCATCACCTCGCTCTCGACACAACACCTACGTCATACGTCTTACCCGGTCACCGCACAACCGATTACCCGCTCGATACAACCAACAATCCTCACCTTCTCCCGGGGCAGCAGCCAACCCGCCCACCGCACAATGTCGCGCATCTCCTCGCTGGGCCTGCACACACCGACCGCGCTGCAATATTGCATCACGGAAAAGATCCTCGCGGACCCGCCAGAACCAGACTCGTACACGTGGACCGCTGGGCTGCCGCACGAGGAAATTCTGGTCACCAAACGGGCCGTCATCTGGTCGCAGGGCGGTGTAATCCGCCGTGTGTTCCAGTACGGCGTCGAAAAGGAACTGGTCGTCCAGGCTGTCATCACTTGGTTCCCGTCGGATGATCCGCTCGACGCCGTCGGTGCGGGTGCCAACGCCAATGGCGACGACGATGCGGACGGCGAGGGCTACGTGAGCGGCGGCGGGTCGGAGGGAAATAAGAGGAAGCCCGACTGGAGTGATGATATCAAGGCGAAGAAGCGACTCAGCACGTGGAATTCGAAGACGAGATCGTACGCGACGCAGCTGGGGAATTTTCCGAAGGCGCACCAAGCGAACGGTGGACCTAGAGGGCCCGAGACTGTTTCTGAAGACCCAGAGCACAAACAGGTACAGCTTGGCCGGGCGAGAGCGCTGGTGGTGTTCCTGAAGACACAGGCTTTCGTGTATTTTCTGTCTGGCACAATGCATATTATCCATCTGCCTTTCGAGATACAGCATGCTATGCCGGCGCCGCATGGCTTGATACTACAGCGAAAGCATGAACGACCCCCAATGCCCATGCCGTTTGCGACTGGTAACTCGTTCACCAAACGGCCTCCGGCCCCAATCAAGGACCTGCCTAGTCTATTCACTTTGACTGATCCGTTGTCCGAGCCCGGCCTGGTCATGAGCACAGCGAGCACGCCCTGTTCAGAAGGACTCCTCTACATTTCACCATCTTCAGAATTCGACACGGCAGATTCCTCCACCAATCTATCCGGCCCCGAGGTCATATTTGCGGTGACATATAACCACGAGCGAAGTGCGATCACCGTCTGGCAAGTGCGCTATGTTCCGCAGGACAAGCCGGTACATCCGCAGCGGCGGACGCCATCGACATCAGGAACCATGACTGCACGCCGGCGGTCTTCTTTCGGGCCCGGAACCGGTGCTACAACACCCGTCGCAAGTGCGTCAAGCACGACGTTAGGTGGCACGGGGAAATCTGGGCGGGAATCTCTAGCCACGAGTGAAGTGTCATCTCTGAACGTACTGGGTGAAGATTTCGAGACTGTTGGTGGAAGACGCGCGTCCCGGCGTGTTTCGTCAATGATGGCTCGCGCAGACTTGTCGGTGAACCAAGACCCGGGCCACCGCTTCTCGGACGTTTCGACCTCTATTGGGACTTCTTTCGGAGCTCCGCCAGTGCCGCAGAATACCATGATCCTGGACGACCAGCCCGTGGATGAACTCCTCAATGAGCTCAACATGGGCTCGTTGGGAATCGGTATGGACGACTTGGGGAATTACGATGGCGAGGGCCTCAAGCAAGAAGTTGTTATGCACAAGCTGGAGAGCTTCCCTTCGAAGCTCCCCGAGGAGAAGAATCAGCCTGGTCTCGATCCATCATCACGGGTTTTCACCTTGCGTGATCCGGCAGCTGTCGGCGCAGCCACTTTCACAGGAAAGGAGGTGCCGGGAAAGAAAGTTGTTCTCTTCATGATGAACAAAAACGAGGGAAGCCTGTTACAAATAACCTTCAATATCCAGATTCATTCCACCGGGCCAAAAGGATATGCTCGGAGGTCAAGTACTAGATTTACAGCTACCGCGATGGGCTACACTGCCGTAATGACAGATATGCAGAAGCGGGAGGATGTCCGCGACGCGATCAGGGTGCAGCATTGCGGCGTGCAGCGAGTCCTTATTCTCACGGATGAAGGCAAGTTCATCCTGTACTCGCCGTGGAGTGGCGCCATGGACATCACTCTCCCTCCGACACTAGCCCGATGGAACCCGAACGTTGTGGGAGAAGACGGAAGCCGACGCGGTAGCCGAAAGAAGGAGTGGGCGAGGATGCTGAGCACAACGCCTGACACGTACCGACGACTTGAATATGCAGACCTCGATGGAAGATTAACGGTAGTCGATGGTGATGGAGTTAGCCACAGGATCTCAATCACACTAGCACCTCGGGGAATCGCTACAAAGTCCTGCTTGGAAACCCTGCGCATCCTCTTGGGCGGCTCACTGGGTCCGCGGGTGGGCGAGGGGATTCTTTCCGCCTGGATGGCAGTCGCGAGATGGTTGCAGATTTCCTCCGATCCCGAGGCGGGGCTTTCACAAGACGTTAAAGGACTGCTTCCTCCCGACGAATGGAAAGCGTTCGTCGTCACGCTGTTTCTCCTCGGCGTCCCGCTTCTTCCAGAGCCAAAGCCACAACCTCGTAGGAAGAGCGGCTTTGCGAGGAGCTCGTCGATCGTTGCTGAACGCGATTGGGAGGACCTGGCTTGCCACGAGGGGGAATGGGGCAGCGCCCCGGAATACCTGAGAGGCTCGGCGTGGCACTGGATGGTCGAAGAACAGGATACTAAGGCTCTGAAGCAGACGCAACAGCCGTCGTCGAAATCGAGAGGTGGCTTCGGTGCTGCTTCGGAAGGGCGCTTGACCAATAAGTTCATCACGGACTGTATTCACCAAGCCCGGCAGTTCAGAAAATCAAAGGGCGGAGATATCGATGCTGAGATTTTTGGTGGTGCGAATAATCTGCCGGAAGTTCGTAGAACCGGGTTGGCTGTAGCCTTGGTTTCGCTTCATCTGTTGAGAGAGGAGTGGAAGCTGGATATTGCGATGGAAGGGGCTGGTCGACGGCTTTGTCCTGTCCTCAGGCAAATCGCGACTTGGTTGGGATGGTCGTGGGCGGACAACTATATGCTGGAAGATGTCGAGATGGTGGGATGGGCCTATGATGAGTGTTAGTTACTCCCCCCGATCGACTTTCTCCTATGGTGACTGACTTTGATTGATAGCCCGGATAACCATGATTGAAGTTCCACAGGAACCGTTCCGGCCCCCCGATATCTACGAATGGGTGATGGCCTGCTTGAAGGGAGAATCTCCTGCTCCTTTCACGGTTTTGCAGGATATCGTCGCCCCATCAGGGTCAATACCTTCAAACAGCCAGGGCTCACAGCGATCGCGAAATCCGTTCTCGCCACCTCCTGCCCCGCCACCCCCGACTGTGCAAAAGCCTGTTTTCGCCAAGATCATGCCGAGGACTCACATGAGCACGGCGTTGTACACTACCATTGCGACTCCGGGAGCTACGGACGTTGACGTGATCGAGAAGATGGTGGCGTTGGGGTTCACGTTAGCGAGTCTTCAACGATTGCCTGAAGGAATCGGTATTCCCCTGCGAGAAGCCATAGCACGGTGCCAGGAACAACCACCGACCACTTGGGGTGTAGAAGCTCTGGATCTCGTGGGACGAAAAGACCTAAGAATGCTCATCGAACCCGGAAAGCGACGGAGAACAGAAACGAAATGGCAGAGCATACCCACTCATGAAGCCGTGAGGGATGTCCACACCATATGTAACTCTGCATTAGACCTTGAAACCATCGGCAGTTATGATCCGATGGCCGAGCAAGATCGACAGCACATTGCAAGGCTTCTGTTCAAGGAGGACCGACGGATTTACGAAGCTGCAAAGCTGCTGCAGACGAACAGGCCGTCTTATGCTAAGTGCATCCCAGAGCATCATTGGAGTGAGCAAGACACTTTGGAAAATTACAAAGATGTTGCCGCCCGTGTCGCCATGCGTACTCTAGCTGTACCCGCGGGACGTGGTCTTTTCAATTTCTCTGCGCGCGTGCCGCTGCTTACTGAGAGGTTCCCCATACCCGGTTTCAATCTGAGTTGCGTCGTCAAGCCATCGAACCAGACGGTTTCCGCGGACAAGGGTCTCTTTACGGAAGAGAAAGTCTGCTGGGCCTTCTTCCATTCGGGAGTGGCGTCGGGAGTCAGTATTTCGCGCGAGGCGAAGGAGATTGACACTTCTTGGATAGTTTTCAATAAGCCGCCGGAGCTCACGAACCGTCACGCTGGATTTCTGCTTGGCTTGGGATTGAATGGTCATTTGAGGAACATTGCGAAGTGGCACGCCTATAATTACTTGACGCCTAAGCATACCATGGTTTCCATTGGTCTGCTCTTGGGAATTTCCGCTAGTTTCCTGGGTACTATGGACGCAACCATCACTCGGCTGCTGTCGGTCCATGTCACTCGCTTGCTTCCACCGGGAAGTGCGGACTTGAACATAACACCGCTTACCCAAACCGCTGGTATAATGGGTGTTGGACTGCTGTACGCTAATACTCAGCATCGACGGATGACGGAGGTTATGTTGAGCGAGATCGAACACGTCGAGATATATGATTCCTGTGTTCCTACGGATAATCTCCGGGACGAAGGATATCGTCTCGCCGCCGGGTTCGCTCTCGGACTGATCAATCTGGGATGTGGAACGGATCTGAGAGGTCTTCATGACATGCAACTCGTCGAACGTCTCCTCGCGGTGGCTGTCGGTCCTAAAAAGGTATCGTTAGTTCACGTTATTGACAAGGCTTGTGCCGGTGCTATCATTGCCCTAGCTTTGGTCTACCTAAAGACGGGAGACGAGTCAGTGGCTGCGAAACTGGACGTTCCTGAAATGCCACACCTATTGGAATACGTTCGGCCTGATCTTTTCCTGATCCGCACGCTGGCAAAGCACCTGATCATGTGGAAAAAGATTGAAGGAACATTTGCCTGGATCGAGAACAACCTCAGGCCTTTCCACAGGAAGAATTTCAAGTTGGGATCGATTAGGCATCTGGATAGCGAGGACCTTGCGTTCTATAATATCTTGGCGGGCCTGTGCTTCGCGATTGGACTCAAGTATGCGGGAAGTGGGGATACGAACGTGAGGGATGTACTGATCCACTACTTGGACCAGTTCATCAGGTTGTGTTCTTTACCAGGTTTATTGGCCCATATGCTGTCTAGGTGCGCTCTTGCTGATGAAATTTGTAGCCCAGAACCACGATCAGAAACTCACCAGGACTACCGTTCGCAACTGTCAAGACCTGCTCGGCCTCTCTGTGGCCACGGTTATGGCTGGTACCGGCGACATTGTGACGTTCCGTCGTTTCCGCAAGCTGCACGGCCGCACCGAAGCCGATGTGCCGTACGGTTCACACCTCGCGGCCCACACAGCAATCGGGGTGCTATTCCTTGGCAGCGGCTCCTTCACCTTTGGAACCTCCAACATCGCGATCGCCGCGCTCGTGTGCGCTTTCTACCCGCTATTCCCCTCCGCCCCTCTGGACAACAAGTGCCACCTCCAAGCCTTCCGGCACTTCTGGGTGTTAGCCGTCGAGCACCGCTGCATCATCCCACGCGACGTCGACACCTTCCACCCGACGAAGATCCCGATCACGATCACGCTCAAGGACGGCGCCGAACTGCAGCGCATCGCGCCATGCATGCTCCCCGAACTAAGCCTGATCTCCAACATCTCGACCACCAGCCCAGAGCACTGGACTGTAATCCTTGACTTCGAGAACTCAGCCGCGCACCGCGCCGGCTTCGAGCGCAGCCAGAGCATCTTCGTGCACCGCCGTAGCGCGCACGCAAGCCAGTCGACGGTTTTCCAGGCAGCGCTGCAGGCCCTCGAGGACGTCGAGAACCACAAGGCGCCCATGGAGTGGGTCGGACGGCTGAACGCCTTCGCCGGGCTGGATAGGGCCGAGAAGGCACTGTTCATACGCGAGGGCGCGCATGGCGGCGGCGAGAGCGTCGATGAGAGGCTAGAACTCGAGTATGCTCTCAAGAGCGCGAATAATCGCTGCAGGCTCATGGGTGTTGCGGTTGTGACGGCGAGGAAGGAGGGGCAGGGCGGGCTGTGGATCTCCGATGAGACTGTGGAGAATCTGCGCGCGGGTGTGTGGATGAAAGGTGCGTAGTCGGGTTTGTCGAGTGAGGCGTTGGGGGTGAGGCGTTCCGCATTGTTTGAATGGGGGGGTGCATTTGCTCTTGGCTCTTTTCTCTTTGCTCTGCTTGAATGATAATCTACGGTTGTTGTGCTGTACTCTAGTTGCACTGTTCTTTTTTTTGTTTAAACGTGATGATACCTCTGATCTGATCTGTACGATACCCAAGTACTTCCTATCGGCATGGATTTGTCATATCGGACGAGTGCCTGCTCATGAAGACCTCATGCCACCATGCCATCATGCCATCATAGACTAGCTACGCATAGACCCGTCCGTTACATTCGTTTCCTTCTACATAAGGTTTCCGAGCTCACCCCGATACTGATGGTGTAATGAATACGTGATACCTATGATATGATGTGCTTGAAACTTTAACCCAGTTTCCGTAGTTTCCGTATCTTTCCTGTCTATACTATCTAGAGTAGCCAGATCCCGTGTACTCCCCGGATCGTGCACGATCCGTACACGGGTCGTGCATGCAATAGTTATCTCACCATACAACTACAACTATAATCAGCCGTTTCATCATGCCAGCATCACCACAACCACAACCCATCGAGTACAAAAAAAACCCCAAAATATCACCATTTCCATATCAAAAAAAAAGTGTAATTCACCCCGCTCCAATTTCCAAGTCAAGTCAAGTTGTGTAAAACCTACAACCTTATAAACGAAAAAAGAAAAAGCCATAAAAAGCCAAAAAAGCCAAAAACACCAAAAACCCATCGGACGACAAACCGTCAATCCTCGCAAACATATCCCGCCCACGCGTGCGTGCACTTTTCCCACTCGCTCACTCGCTCATTACCAATCACCCGTATAAACCATCTTTACTCTCTACTCTTTACTCGCCCTCGCCCCCTCCCCCTCCTCCCCCACCCCCGCCTCCTCCTCCTTAGCACTCCTCACGCCACCCTCATTATACAGTTCCCCACAGAGCTCTTCCAGTGTCTTCCTCTTCGTCTCAGGAATCAGCAGACTCGTCCAGATACCGGCAAACATGAACGCAGCAAAGATCTGCATGACATGGTTGAGCCATGGGCTCTCATTATCGGGGGTAGGGTTTCCGCGGACGCGGAGGGGGCCGATGAGGACCTGTGCGATGATGGCGCCTACTTTTCCGGCGGCGGCCGACATTCCGTGGGATGTCGAGCGGTAGCGGGTGGGGAAGCATTCGCCAGGAACTATGAACGTCGTCGCGTTCGGGCCGAAGTTGAAGAAGAACTGGCAGAGCACGTAGAGGCCGAGAAGCGCGTTGCCAGAGAGCTTGTCGAAGGCGAAGCCGATGATGCAGAATAGGATGGTCAGCAGCACGAACCCCATCAGCTGGATCGGCTTGCGGCCGATGGTGTCGACGGTGAACACCGTCACCCAGTAGCCGGGGATGGACCCGGCGCAGATCAGGATCAGGTTGCCGACGGCGTTGTTGTGGAGTTTTTCGTAGACGTCGGTGTGCGAGCTGTAGCCTATGGCGTCCAGGATGATGCTGTTGTTGAGGCCGAGGCCGTAGAAGGCTACGTCGAGGAGGAACCATGAGCCAGCGGTGCCGAGGAGGATCTTGCCGTAGCGCCACTGGCTGTAGTGGCCCCAGAAATCGGCCCAGCTGGCTTTTGGGATCTCGAGCTCCTTGGTCGCGGCGACTTGGGTCTGGATGCGCGTGATCTCGTCGACGTCGGCGTTGCCGTGCTCTCCAGAGGTGAATTTGGCGGCATCGGCTGCTCCCTTCTCGATGTCGAACTGGACGTCGAAGGTGTATCGCGGGGTCTCGGGGATGGTCAGACGGTAGTAGAGTGCGATGCAGGCGGGAACGGCACCGAAGCCGATGATTATACGCCACATCCTGTCGACGGCGGTCTTGCACTCGTCATCGCACTCATTGATCGCCTTGCCGATGAGCTTCTCCTTGAAGGCCACGGTGACGATCAGGGCGCACAGAGCAGCGCCCAACTGACCGATACCTTGCATGGCGAACACGGCACCCATCATGGCACCGCGCCATTTAGTAGTTGCGAATTCCGAAGTGATGATGGAAGAGAGCGGGTAGTCACCACCGATACCGATTCCCATGATGACACGCCAGAAGACGAGCAGACCGACGATGCTCATCGAGTAGGACTCCGAGGTGAGGGATTGTGCCAGAGTTGCGACGATGATGACGATCAGCTCGAGTCCGTACATCTTCTTGCGGCCGACGACATCCGCCAGCCATCCAAATCCCAGCTGGCCGATAACGGTACCTCCCGAAGTCGAAACCTTGATAGCAGTGTCCGAGTTGCCGGGAATCAGGCCACCTGTCCAGTACACGAGACCCAACATCGAGGTGATCAAGTTGACGGCGAAGATCTAGACAACGTCAGTACGTGACACCAACACACCCACACCCGCATGGACATCGGGAAGGGGCAGATTTGTGTTATATTTACATCATAGGCATCGGTGAAGAAACCGATTCCTCCAACCACCACGGCACGAACGTGGTACCAGCCAAATGGAGCCTTATCGATCTCGGCCAGGGCCAGCCGACGACGCTCATGTGGGTCCTAGAAGCAACACGTCAGAGAAAATCCAGCTACGGGGGGGTAGTGCTAATTCTCACCGTGATGTGAGCGAACTTGTTGTTGAAATTGGTGAAGGCAGCGTTTCCGCCATTTGTTTTCCCGAGGGGAGCAGACATTCCGAGGGAAAGCGGGGGGATACCGCAGTATGTGGGGGTGGGAGGTTTGCGGGAGCGTTGATGTCGACTCGGGATGTGTAGAGCCTAGGCTATTATACCCTTGGGTGGGGGGGGGGAGTCGATGAGCTATGGCAAGGAAAAAAAGGACAGTTAGATTTCAGTCCAGTCTTAACCAACGCAGCGTCGGAGAGGGGGGGGAAGGTTCGTTTGCTCCAAAAAGCTAATTATCTACCTTTCTTCTATGTACCAAGAGGCCTTCGTAGCAAACGAAGTGGATAGTGGTGATTTTCCAATAACGGCAGTGAAATGGGGAGAGGGGGTGAGAAAAGGTTAAGTGGACCGTACGCGAGGACCGGGACGATAGCGGTATATAGTGTCTCGGGCGGGGGAGGAGGGCGGGGGAGGAGGCGGGGCCTTAGTGAGGTCTCGGAGCTCGAGTGCGTTCTTGGGCAGAGGAGGAGTACTCTGAGAACAGGACTTCTTGGGAGGAGGGGAGTCTTAAGATGCAGCAGGCGGGGGAGGGCGGACAGTCCCTCTTAAAGATATTGGAAGCCATCCAAGTTATTGGATTATTGTGAGGGGGGGAAGAGTCCGCAGCATGGCCAGAGGCAAACTGTATCGCCAAAGTTTCGCAGCAGCAGCGGCGGCGGCGGGGGCGACAGATGAGGTTGTGGGCAGCCAATGAGAATTGAGTGCTGAAACATGTGTCCATTCGGAATTGAAAGTGAGCACGCCCTGTCGGAATCTTCGAAGGACCTGCAGATGGTCCATCCTGACTAGACGGACAGACCGAGCTGCTGCTTCTCCTTCGCGGCGGGTGCGGAGGGTGCGGAGTCAGGCCGTTTCGACACGGATGTCCGGCAGCTCTGGGGGGCTGGGATAAGCGGCAGCAGCAGCTCAGGGATGCCCCACGCGACACCCGATCAGGCGCAAGAAAGCAGACGCACTCGGAGGGAGGGAGGGTCTCACGGCCAGACATTTTGAAGTCTCACAGCTAGACATCTTAGAGTCTGACGGCTAGACGTGCTGAAGTCTCACGGCCAGATATCTTGAAGTCACGGCCGGACAGTCTCAAGTTTTGCCTCGAATCACAGTTCCGGGAGAGAGTTTGCGAGGCAACGACAGCAGCAGCCGGAAGAGCTCCCGGCCCTCTCGCCGTCTTTGCGCGAGTAGAGTTCGACGGCCGAGACCAGATGGTAAAGTATCAACACGAGTGCTGGAACCGAACAGGGCCCACTTCGCCTGTAGTTATCGGACCGGATCGGAGGCTTCAGTGTTAACGTCTTCACGCCGTGATCCACCACCCGAGCACCACGAGTTTTGCGTGGGGGAATCCGCCGTGGGGCTTCTCCACATGCGAGAGTCCGCTGCTGCGGCCATCTGCGGAGGGACGGCGGAGACATCTGAGGGCCAATCATCGCACCCACGAGGCAGGTCCCGGTGGGGTAGGCAGATCGCGGCGAGTACGTCCAAAACCCTGGCATGCTCACCCGGTGCGGATGTACAGATTGCATGTTACGGTACTTACGTCAGGGAAACATGGCGGCAGCTACATCTCAACGAGATGCTTGCAATCGCCAGAGTTGGTACTTGGATGGGTAGATATGGATAGATAGATGGGAAGGGATCGAATCGCTCGTTGGCCCCGGTCCGCGCCAGCTGTAAAACCCAGAGGCTCCCACTCCAGAGTGCTCTACTCTATTCCACTCTGCACACCAGCCTCTGCCTTGTCCCCGTCCTTCGGAGCCCGAAGCCATTAGAGTAGTCAAACTACGTGCTTACATCGGCAACTGCAGTTGCGCAGTGGATCCCACAATCGCCGCCGTGGTAAATACAACACCTACACAAATCCTATTTACTTACTTGGTTACGCACAACCCTATTCCATCTACCCCTCCTTCCTCGTACACCCTCCGTCACACCCTCCTCCATCCCTCCTCCAGTCCTCAACAGCCTCCCTCATCAACACAACTTATCTCTACACTCTTCTCTATAATCAAACAGATGCGACGTCCACTGCCAAGCACAGCGCACGCGACACTCTTCCGCATTGCACCGCCGAGAGATCCTCATTCGGCTTCATCGTGCATTGCGGCTGCGGCGTGCGGTACGGTACCGAGAATAAGTTTCCTGGGCGTGCTGGGCATTCTGGGCAACCATTCCAGCCGCGGACAGTCACGAGCCAAGACCCGCCTAGAAGCTGCCGAAGAACACCGAGCGAACGAAACAAATGCCGTCGTGAACGACGCCCAGCCTCGGGTAAACTAACGGCTTGACTAAGAAGGGAAGAAGGCGTTGCTTGGTGGATTGATGGCTTGCTTGGTGGCTTGGCTCTGCACTCTGCAGGGCTGCGAGGGCGGGCGCTCGATGCGCGGATGCTTGGCAAGTTGCCAACGCCCACGCGGACGAGAGAAAAACAAAATCCGATGCGGTGGGAGTTTCGATTTTTTGTGTGCGAATATTAATCGACCGGATCGATCTCGCGACGATCGGATGAGCGACAGTGAGAGAGCGAGGTTGTGGGATTCGCACACATCGCCTTCGAACCGCGGAAGAGAAGAAAAGAAAGAAGGCAAAAAAAAACTTTCTCACCCAGCCACTCCGATCTTCATACACACCTAAGCAGGTGCTCCTAGCAGCATCTCAAGCGCTCCAATTCTCCCATTCCGTCGAGTGCGCCGAGATCCCGAGGAACTACTTTGCTAGCTTCGAATCAACTATCAAGCAACCCATGCCATCGATATTCGTGAGACCGAAAGCTCCGGAAAAAGGTAAAAACTCCGGCCGTTGGTATGTACTTTACTTTGCAACCAGTATATTCTCGCTGCCATTGGACTTCGCCATCTTGCGCAGCGCCTACCAGGGCCACCACGCTGCTGCTGTTTGTCTTTCCGTGCCTCCCCCGTCACGAAGGGACTGGATTTCTACTATCCAGTTATCCAACACTGCACGTTTCGGCCTGCTGCGTACGGTAGTTACGTCCCGCCGTTGTTGACGTCGTCCGGTGCAGCCAACCGGAGGAAGACCAAGAAATCCAACCGCTACACACACTGCATGCATAGTCCGCACTCCGGAGGCGCGTCGTAATGGTGCCACCCGTGCGACCCGGGGGGTTAGGACAGCCAGTCAGAGGACTGAAACTCCACCATTGCTCCGATAGGAGGCGTTTCGGCTTCGGTATCTTGGCTCGGAGGAGGAGGAGGAGGAGGGGGGGGAGGAGGGTGAGCGAGGGTGAGGGAGTGGTCAGTGCCGCAACTCAACTCATTCCGATGCTGAAGTGCATAGCGTAGGAGCTGACGTGCGATGGTTGTATGTATACTCACTGGCCGCCGTGGAGAGACCTCAGACCTGTCGGCCTACTATACCATGGCGTATGTATTGTACCATGTACGCGCTGGTGAGGATACAAGATGAAATCCCCGGGCTGCGAGTTGCGTACATTACACATAGGTACCTACGTTATGCGCATGAGGTATGTATTCCTCTGGTGAGAATGACAACATTCTACTCTCATATATACCCGTATTCCAACCGCACCTCCCTCCCGGTTACATCACTCTTTGGATTCCATGCCCTACGCCCGCCGCTCCAACGCTGCAACGGACCGGAGGTGATCCAGCTGCTGCTGCTGCTGTCGTCAATTCGGGCCTAAAGATTCACACCTCTTCCAACACTTGAACTCGAACTCGGAGCATTCCATCCTCCCATGGGCCATCGGTTCATCGACACGTACTTACTTACGCACCACTGCTGTTCCTGGTTGTGGCTGGCGGATCGCAGTACTATAATAGGTGGCGAGCACGGAAACTAAGAGACTCCACGTTGGATGGACAGAGTGCGGGAATTCCCGTCACTGCACTGCGATGTGGTGATCTACCTACAGTAGAATATCTACTCGTACCCAGAGCATAGTAAAGTCCGGTTACCGGTAGTTATCTACCCCGGAATATTGTTACCGTAGAGTGCAGTGTACACGGGCCGATTGTGAGCTCGGGGTCAGACACAGATGATGTTCGAGACAGGCTGAGAGAACCCAAAACACCAGGCAGAAACTTCACTGTCCAGGCAGAAAATCCACCCCACCCACCCGCAAGAAAAGTAGCCCCGCCCTCCCGAATCCCGATGCATCCGTCGTATGAGGTCCATTACCTACTAGGTAATAGGTGGTCCGCTAGCCATCAAAAATATATATCCGCACGGAATTCACACGGAATCCGCGCCCTACTAGTAGCAGATCTGCATACTTAGTACCTATATTGTGCGCGAATTTCAAGCCGAGGCATCCATGATCAATCCATACCTAATAAACATTCCAGATCCGCAGGGCGGACTCCGGAGTAACAAACAAACAAACAGACAGACAAACAAACAAACAAACAAAAATATGCATCCAGGTTACAGACGCGCAGGGTCTTCGGAGGATCTTCCGCCCACATACTTCATTATATGTGAGGATGCAGGTCGGGATGCATGTCGGGATCATTGGGGGATCATGGCGAAATGCAAGTCGGGATACATGTCAGGATGTATGTCGGTGTTCGCACCGGTGTAGTTACGGAGTCATGGGTATCACTCGTTGCGGAGGTGGATTACCTATGTTGAAACTGAGAGAAGAACTTGACTTGATTGATGTATTAATACGAGAAAGATGGGAAAGATGAGAACGATGAAAAAGGAGACTGCTTATAAAGGAAACGAGCTCGTGTAAACAACGAGATGAAGCTGGGCCCCAGACAGAGGATGCGACGATAGCCGTCGCCGGACTCGGGCTGGGTGCCTACTTAACGAGGCTTACTCTGGTGAGAAGTTAGGGACAATGCACGTTAAGAAGCCGTGAAGGCCGTGAAGGTTGTATGCGATGATGCAAAAGGACAGAGTACTGTATAGAGAAAAGTAGCAGTGACACCGGAAAAGGCAATGAGACGCATAATATCAATATGGGTTACCTTCCTGCCTACTTACTTTCCTAAGTACTGTATAGCGAAGGGGGGGGGGGGGTAAAAAAGATGGTAGCACTACGATATTTTAGAAATACTGCGTGTCGGGCGGAAATATGTACCGCTATGCAGGGCGCTATCAAAGAGATAACTTGACACGTATAATTTTGAAAAATAGTATCCACAAAAAAAGCGTGATGTATTGACAGGGTGCTTGGCTGTAGTGACATGGTATGTTGCCATCTCCACATGGTGCTTGAATATACCAGTCTGGTGCTTGACCATATCAATATGGTGCTTGCCTGTAGTGACATGCTATGTTGCCATGCTGATATGGTAAGCGACTGTATTGATATGCTGTTCGACGGTATCGATATAGTGTCTGTGTTACACCCAGCAAGCTGCCAACATACCTCAGGGATATGGGAATACATTAGTACCACTGTTGGTCATCATCAACCATTACCATAAACAGTCATGGGAAGAACTCAGCCAGAATCCGAGGATCCGAGAAGGGGGATATCTTGTTATTGAGATTTAAACATCACAGAGATAGCCATTAGAACTGTCACAGTTCAGAAATCCTGGCCTTAAGTAGCTACTGGGATAATGGCCTTCAGCCATCAAATACCTTTTGGTCAAGTGGTATAGTACTTTCCCAGTGTACTTTATTACAAGAACCCCGTGGAGGGTGGCGATGGATGTGACACCCCGATAGATATGGGAGGTCACGACGGTCGCGAGAGATGTGATTATATAGTTCGGGTGATTAGAATAGAGTTGCGAGCCGAAGGGATGTAACGGCACGGTCGGGCAAGGTATGAGACTGGAACGAGTTTGTGTCGTCGGAGTCTATGGTATTATCAAGTGTAGAATAAAAGTCAGTGATTTCGATAATTCACAGGGGAATAATCTTAAGGGTGTTTGTTCGATGGTTTGTTCGGTGCTGTCACAGTTCAGAAATCCTGGCCTTAAGTAGCTACTGGGATGATGGCCATCAGCCATCAAAATACCTTTTGGTCGAGTGGTATAGTACTTTCCCAGTGTACTTTATTACAGGTGCGATGATTGTGTTTTTTTGGTTTGGTTGCCCGCTCGGTTCGACTTATAGCCGTCCCGATCCACAGCACGTGATTCCTCTAGAGTGCGGCCTAACGTAGCTCCGTTGCTTCCTTTGCATTGGAGTTCCGCGGCCTAGCCTTGAGTCGTTGTTAGCTCTCTTCGGATAGTCTTCTCGACTAGGCAGGTGGTAAACACCACGCGCCCAAGATAGATCGGAGTTCCCGAGCAATTATCTCCCTCATGCGCCGGCAGAGTTCTTCGCTCGAAGTTCTCTGCCCCCATCGGTCGATGTTAGATTCTCTCGTCATAACAGTTTTTCCCTGGATCGGAGTTCCTACTGCGGGGCCCTATGAACAGAGATCTCAAAGTCCTCTGGACTGTTATCCCGATCACCCGCATCTCCGATCACTGTCAAGACTCTGGGATCCGTTTGCTTCATCCTTTCTATCTTGTCCTTGATCACTTCTAACTATCCCTTCGGCTCGCAACTCTATTCTAACCACCCGGACTATCTAATCTCATCTCTTGCGACCGTCGTGACCTCTGATACCTATCGGGGTGTCACACACAGGAACGGCCCCCGGTGTGAGACTGGAACGATTTCGGTCGTCGGAGTCGATTGATAGAATGGGGTTTAGAATGAAAATAGATAGTATTCTTTTCACAAGCGGAATAATCTTAAGGGGTAGTGTCGATGGTTTTCTGGTTGCTGGTTCTGATGATGAATCTTTCGCCGTGTCGTCGGAAGTCTATATAGTTGGGTGATTTGGTCGAGTCACGTGCCGGCCGTTGCCGTAGCTTGTTGCCGGATGGAACCCTGGCGTGAAATCTCTGCACTTTGGTGCGGAGACTTTCTCCGCCATGTCATCAGAGTCGTCGTAAGCCTTCAGGATAGTTTATACAAACTAGGCAGGTATGGCGCACCAATCCTTACCCGAGCATAGTCCGGTTTCAGCTATCTCCTCGCTGGGCAACGGCTGCGCCTTTCGGCACGTCTCTAATTTGCTTAAGACGCGAGAAGAGGGGCAACACTCGTCATAGTGGTTTTTCTCCGATCAGAGTTTTCTCTGCGCTTGTTCCGCGATTCGCCTGCCTCAAGCCAAGCATGACTGTATCGGACTTTTCGTGCGTATCGCTGCGCCTCCGATCCCACCTAGACTCTGGTTCCGTTTGCTTCCTTCCTTCCTATCTCGTCTCTGACTAGCTACGACTAATCTAAAAGGTTCCCTCCTGTTCCCCGATCTATCTAACTATTTTTTCCCAAACTCCCGTTGGTAAGAAGCCGGACCCTGAAGTCGGGCCGACTGCGACCAGGGTGTCACACCCGGAGCCATGGACTTGAGTGCCAGGAATGGTTGTGGAAGAATAATCAATGGAAGGAAAACATCTCGTTGTATTGTGTAACCTTTCGTTTGGTGGCAAAACTATTGCCACGCATGCGCTGATCGATTGTGGGGCGGCCGGAATTGCATTTGTAGACAAAGACTTCGCCCGCCATCACTACCTACCCCTCGTACCCCTGAAATGCCCGCAAAGTCTCCAAGTCATCGATGGCCGTCCCATCGAGTCAGGCGACATCACACATGTTGCCACCACCACCCTGTCCATACAGGAACACCACGAGAAAATCCCTATGTTTGTCACCAAACTAGGCCACTACCCCGTTGTACGCGGAATCCCCTGGATGGACCTCCACGATGTGGCCATCCGGTTCAGCTCCCGAACCCTCACCTTCGGCTCCCAATACTGCACAGCCAATTGCAATGCGGTGCCCACAGTTGCACATGGAATCACCACCGACCCGCCTGACGTATCCACGTATGCTCTCGCGTCAAAAGCAGCTCAGCAAGAGCCAGCGGTAAGCGCGGGGGCCGGCGACATCGTGGCCCGCTACATTACGTCTCCCCCAAGGAAGAATCACCAAGAATGCACTAACCTTTCAAGGGAAAGCACAGTCAGAATCTCAGCCTTACAGATGGAGTCATTCCAAGAACTGGTCAACAAGGAAAGCCTCACGATTTTCAACACCACGCTTGTCGAGGTCAACGGCGCACTGGAAGGAAACAAGGACCCCACGGCACATATCCCTCACGAATACCACGAGTTCCTACCGCTATTCTCTGAAGCCCTTGCCCAGAACTTGCCCCCGCACCGACACTACGACCATAAGATTCCACTCAAGGAGGGATTTACG